TAAGCTGTATAAAAGTGTCTTGAAAAATATCTAGTAAAATATTATTTACTGTCATCATGGCACAGATAAAATGAATGAGTTATTAAAAAATGAGTTATGAAAACGATTATGTTTAGAAATGTGTTGAAATAATCTTCTCTCAGTTAAAAAGAAATTGGGGAAAAAATAAACAGGGGGGCTAATAATTCCGACTTCAACTGTATATAAAAATTGGTGCTATTGGATAAAAGTTTGCAGGTAAAATATTCCAGAATGTAAAAATAAAGTAATAACAATATGTTCTATACTTCAAAAGCTTGGTATGAGATTTTCCATGTTCACTGTTTGACAATGACAGTTTATGTCTAAATGTATAAATAATATATATATTATATATTTGTAACCGTGAAGAAAAAACATAAATTATGTTTTCTGTTTTATGGAAGCCAATAATGCAGCATATTAAAAGCAGGGATACATTTGTTTTAATGATACTTCAAATTAAAAAAATAAAAATGAAACAAACTTATTATACAATAAACTTTCAAATTTAAGCACAATTTCTGACAAATAATCTGAAACAATAAAGGCTAGGAAAAGATGTCTAACGATTGCTCTAACGCATTGCATAATCTACATTCTCATGCAGCGCTTAAGAAATCAGGTTCAAAGTTGACGCGGTGCTTTTTTTGTAATACTTATTTGTCCAGTTGTAACATTTTAAATTATTTGTCTTTTCAAATGTACTTCTATTTTGCATATTTTTTAATAAAGATGAGTTTTAATAAAATAAAAAAATAAATAAAATGATATCCTCTCTGTACTTTTATTTCACTCAGGAAACCTCAAGTTTATCATTCATTTTGCAAAAAAATGTGGGTGTGTCTGAGTATGGTCTGCAGGAATTTTTTTTTTTTTTGCCTAAAAGATTAATGAATTAATATGGTATTTATTATTATTATTATTAATATTATTATTATTATTATTTATTATTATTATTATTATTATTATTATTATTATTATTATTACTATTATTATTATGTAAGCTATAGCTTAATTGTTTTCTCAAACATAATAAAGGCTCTCATTCGCTTATTTATTTTATTTATTTTTTATTTTATTTATTTATTTATTTTAAGTTTATTTCTATGACATATTTTAAGCAACTGTGTCAGTACTCATTTAAATTAAAGAGACAAACTCAAATTTTATTATGCAGATTATGTTTTCCCAAGATATTTAACTCTGTAAACCTAGATATTATTATTATTATTATCTTTATTACTATTAGTATTCATTATCAGCATAAGCACATAAACTAATGACATTTTATTATGATTTTAAAATTATAGTAAAAATTAATCACACTGTCTCTGCTGTAGTTTTTGTAACCCAATTGAATTGATTTTTTTTTTTTTTTTTTTGTAGTGATAATGCAAAAATGTTGTCACTGTAATGCCAAATAATAAATTGAATGCCAAATAATAAATGTATTGGCAATGTTTACATTACTACAGAATGACTCTGAAATTAATCCGATCTCTCTTTTGACAGGGATCATTTCAAATGATGTGACTAATATTTTGTATTGAAGCAGATCAAATGAAAGATGCTCTCTAATTGATTGAGCAACATAAATGGTTCATGACTTCAAAGAGCTGTCGTTAAAGGGTAATAAATGGACCCAATATTAAAACATGGGGATCAAGGGTTTCAAAACATGGTTTATGTTGCCTTTGACTTTGTCTGGTCTTTAAGTTTGCCTACCATAAAAGTCTGTGGTGTCTGGCAGTTAAGATTAGAGACAGACTTCCAACAAATCTGGGGAGACATGAATGTGTTGGCAAATGTGCGATAGATGTTTAAACATTAAAGGTTGTACAGTGATGATGCACAAGAAGTTTTTTGTCTGAAGTTCTTAGAGATGATACAGCTAGCGTGTCTAAAGCCTGACCTCTAGAGGCAAGAAAAAAACTTTTTTTTTTTTTTCATTTATCTCAGTGTTTCCTTAGCAGCTCACATTGTATTTTCAATGCTTCGTTAAGACAATACAGGTGAATAGTGTGAATAATTATCACTACTATATTTCCTCCAAGAACACAATTTTTGTATGTCAAATTTGTCACATTTTTTTTTAATAATGCATCCATAAATATCTTAATATCTAGTATTTTTTTTTTAAAAGTTCGAACGCTTTTATTTTCAATAGTTGCAATGTTTCTGTGCTTGTTCTAAATGTTTTTACGTGGGATATGTTCATACAAACAATAAAATGAATGAATAAATTAATATATATATATATATATATATATATATATATATATATATATATATATATATATATATATATATATATATATATATATATATATATATATATATATATATATATATATATAATTAATTTATATATATATATGTTCATTTATTTTCTTGTCGGCTTTGTCCCTTTATTAATCTGGGGTCGCCACAGCGGAATGAAGCGCCACCTTATCCAGCACGTTTTTATGCAGAGGATGCCCTTCCAGCTGCACTCATTCACACTCATACACTACGGACAATTTGGCCTACCCAATTCACCCGTACTGCATGTCTTTGGACTGTGGGGGAAACTGAAGCACCCGGAGGAAACCCACACGAATGCAGGGAGAACAAGCAAACTCCACACAGAAACACCAACTCTTTTTTTTTTTTCTTGCTGTGAGGCGACAGCACTACCTACTGCGCCACTGTGTCACCCCATATATATATATATATATATATATATATATATATATATATATATATATATATATATATATTGAAATTTTCTTCTAAAATTAGCATTTTTCTCTGAATCGTGTGTAGGTTAAGAAATGTTGTTTTCATAGAGATGAAGTTCTTTTCATTGACTTTGAAGTGAAATAACTGAACATAAACATAGGAGGCTGAGAAAAATAGATATTTTTTGGAGAAAATTTCAGATGGCCTTTAGAGGTTTTAGCATCTGAACTCTTCGTGTGTGTGTGTATATATATATATAGGGAGTGTTGTCACCTCACACCAAGAAGGTCGCTGGTTCGAGCCTTGGCTGAGTTGGTTGGCATTTCTGTGTGGAGTTTGCATGTTCTCCCTGCGTTTGCGTGAGTTTCCCCTGGGTGCTCTGGCTTCCCCCACAGTCCAAAGACATGTGGTACAGGTGAATTTGGGTAGGCTAAATTGTCCATAGTTTATGTGTGTGAATGAGGGTGTATGGATGTTTCTCAGAGATGGGTTGCAGCTGGAAGGGCGTCCATTGTGCAAAACATATGCTGGAGAAGTTGCCGGTTCATTCTGCTGTGGCGACCCCAGATTAATAAAAGGACTAAGCCGAAAAGAAAATGAAACATATATATATATATATATATATATATATATATATATATATATAATATATAATTCTTCAACCACAGGCACTTTTATGTCCTTTGATCATATATCCAAAAAAATATAGAATTTTGTTCAAACTCCTCCTAATTTGTCAAACTAACAATAAATCCTACTTTAAAAAAAATACTACCTGTCTATTACATTTATTTTTATATAATATTCAACCTCCTTTTAGGTGTCAAAATCACTGTTTTCACCTTGTTGCACACCCAGGTTTTAAAACTTCAAAAATGAGAATAACAATTTAAATCATTATTTATCTGGTAACTATTAATGTATTCTAATTATGCACTTGTTAAATAATTTAAATATCTTATAGTTATTAATGTGAGATTATTATCAATATTATTTTTGCACAGTATCAGTGTCATTTCCTCCACAACACTGTAACGTCACTTTAAAAAGTTTGGTGTGAAAGATTATTTAGGTGTTTTTTTATGAAAATAAACAGTGCCATCTGAGAACATGGTTAATTTAATTTAATTTAATAAGTTTAATTTAATTAGTTTAATGTAATTGAATTTTTATTAACAACAAGTAAATGAAAATGAAGATAAACATTGCTTGATAAGGAAATACATTTATTTTACGTCATTTCCAAACATGCTGTACCTTTGTAGATGTTTTTAAAAACCAAACAAAATTAAGATAAATAAGAGTGTTTTGTACATGAAAGGTTAGTATTAATTCAAAGGTAATCGGTGAAGCTGTTTTTCTTTTTTTTTCACAATAAACTGTTGAATAGTCATTTCCACCACTGTTATTTCCATCACCACACACATTTAAAAAATATATATTTATATATTTAAAAAGTTCTCTTCACACGATAAAAGTGTATTCACAATGTATAAGTTCATGCTCTATTTAATATACAAATTCAGTTTTATTTTCTAAAAAGCTCTTAACCAAATTAAGATTAAATTTTAGAGTGTGACAGGTTTACAATTCAGCTTACAACTAATTTATTTATTTACAAATGTATAATTATAATATATATATATATATATATATATATATATATATATATATATATATATATATATATATATATATATATATATATATATATATATTGTGGAAAGACTGGTTAAACTAGATACAAAAATGATCTTAGACAAGGGTTGACTGCCATAATTTTTTTCATTTTGAAATAAAAGCAGTATGTTGAGATGTGGTGGAAATTAAATTTGTTTAGTTCACAATGAAAAAAAAAAATGTTTCTCTTCTTATCTAAGTTTGTCCTCTTACAGATCTTAAAACTAGACAAATTGTTTAAACTTATGAGGTTATGTTACAATAATTTTTGCATACATATATTATAGAGGATAATATAATAAGACACAATTTTAGTTAACTGGTCATTGGACAATAGTGGTCTATAATAAAACTTTCACCAGAATATAAACAAAATAGGGAATTCTGTGAAAACAAGTGCTAAAATTCTGTATTTATATAAAATTCTAGTTTATACAAGTTGAGCTGAAGTGGAGGTTTATGGCTCAATGCAGGAAAAAAAAACCTAATACAAATTAATAGATACTAGCTAATAAAGTTTGAAAAAATAAATGCCTAAAAGTATGTTTTTGGATTTTTTTTTTTTTTTTTTTTTTTAGCCAACATTTTCTCACTTTCATAAAACTGCAAATAAAAGGTCACAGCATATTTTATATCATCCAGTTAAGTATTATTCAGAGGTAGGTTAAATTATTATATTATATTATATTATATTATATTATATTATATTATATTATATTATATTATATTATATTATATTATATTATATTATATGTGATGAAAATGTAACAGTTGAGATGTTGATACACATACAGTACGAACAGAAATAGTGTGTGTTATATGCAGCAATTCAACACATAATTAATCGAGGAACAGATCAAGCTTCTTCTTGATGTTGTCGAAGGCGTCTTTGCCCATATAATCAATGTGTCCTGCTTCCCACATCAGTCGATGCTGCAGATCCTCCTGCTCTGCTTCTGCTGCCGCCTGCAATGAAAGAGTCTTATGATCAAATACAACTTTAGTTACAAGAAACATATCAAATTTAAACTGATGTGTAGTTCTGGGGGAAACACTGGTGCATTCATTATGACTGCAAAGGCAAGTCTAAAAATTGCTCTAAACTGTTGCCATTAGATGGCAGCATACACAAACGCACTGATATTTGCAAGCGAAATCTTTATCTCAAATTATAAATATTATCAGTTATTATTATTTAGCCGTTTAAAATCAGTCAGTTTTAAATAAAAAGTAAAATAAAACAAGAAAAGGTTGCTTTGTAATATTTACAGTGAATATTTAACATAAATAATGTTTTAATTAATTGGTTTTTAGAATAATATTAATACTAATGTGAATGGGGCATATTTATAAAAATATTTAAGTTTATAAACTCACTTTGGTCATGCTTCAGACACACAAACACACACACACACACACACACACACACACACACACACGCACACACATATATATATTATTTGTGTGTGTGTGTGTGTATTATATATTTATTATACAATAAAAATAAACAAGGGGCTTATTATCCACCCACCCTGAATAATAAGCCCCTTGTTTATTTTTGTCCCCAATTTCTGTTTAATGGAGAGCAGATTTTATTCAACACATTTCTAAACATAATAGTTTTAATAACCCATTTCTGATAACTGATTTATTTTTTCTTTAACATGCAGACATTCAATAATTTTTGACTAGATATTTTTCAAGACACTTCTATAAAGATTAAAGTGACATTTAAAGGCTTAACTATAGGTTAACTAGGCAGGTTAGGGTAATTAGGCAAGTTATTGTATAGCGATGGTTTGTTCTGTAGACTATTGAAAATTACTAGCATATAGCTTAACGGGGCTAATATATTTTACCATAAAATGGTTATTAAAAAAATAAAATAACTGCTTCTATTGTAGCCGAAATAAAACAAATAAGACTTTCTTCATAAGAAAAAAATATTATCAGATATAATGTGAAAATATCCTTGCTCTGTTGAAAAAGGGAAATCTTTTTTTAAAGAAAATAAAACTTCAAAGTGGGATAATCTGACCTCAACTGTATGTATATACAATTATGCCACACATAAGAATGCCACATTCACATTAATTGACTTAATACTAAAATACATTCATATGAATAAATATATTATGAATTTATTTATTTGTTTATTGGTTGGTTGTTTTTATTGACATTATAACACGGTTGCAAAACATACCTAAGATAATTTATATGATGTATTTTAACCACTTAAAAAAAGATCACCGACAACAAAATCCAGTGACTTTTTTTCTATGATCCAAGTAAATCCGCTTATTTTCCAACATACTGCTTCTCCAGTGGCTCCGGCAGAGTCTTCATCAGCTTCTGGTTCTGTGTGCTCAGATGAAGGGCTTACAACAAGAGCCTCTTCAGTCTCCACAGCAGACAGAGCATCAAAGAGAATATTCTGAGAAGACAGACAGACAGATAAATAAGTCAATAAATAAATAAATGAATAAAAAAGATCTTAAAAAAGAAAATGAAAAGCACTGCATGTATATTCACAATTTATGCAACAGAATTAAAACTAAATTAAGATTCAGAGGTGGGGTGGGCAGGATATAATTTACATTTCTTTACATTGCTTTAGCCACGTATAATAATTTTAAATGCACACTGCAAATTATTTATAGCAATTAATTAGAAATCAACATACTGGTGTGATTAAGTGTAGCTTTTTTTCCTCCATTTTGTATTAAGTAATTTTAATCATAATGAGTTCATCAGCAGGCGACGCGGTAGCGCAGTAGATAGTGCTGTAGCCTCACAGCAAGAAGGTCGCTGATTCGAGCCTCGGTCAACTGCCTTTGTCAGTTGGTATTTCTGTGTGCAGTTTGCATGTTCCCTTAATGTTAGTTTATGGAAATGCAGTTGCTCATTAATATTTGATTACATTAATTTAATGTTATTTCATGAATTTCTGCAATACTCAATCCTGACTGGTTAGTCACAAAATCCTATTGTATTTTATTCCGAGATAACAACCGCTGAATAACACAAGTTCATCCAAGAACTTTCAGGCGACCAACAGTGAATACATTCACATCCATCTATTTACATCCTCATTCATACATATCTGCTTGACTGTTTCATTTTAGTTTTGGACAATTTGGCTCAGTCTTGTGAATGAATAAAGTGTGGGTTAGTATATGCTCCATTCAGCCAGCTTTACATTTTTGACTCTTTGGCCAGTTGTGACTGAATAATGCGCAGGTTAGTGTAATTTTGCATTTAATTAGAGAGTTAAACTATTACGGCTCAGATAATTTTGTTGTGTCTATTCTTATGTTTTGTGATGTAGCGGTGTAATAAGATCCTGGGCTGCATTTCCGAAAACCATCACCAACTAAAGTCGCAAGTTCCATTGTAACAAACATAGTTCATTGATTTGGCATTCCCCAAATCCATCATTCCAATGAACATTCGCAAACTGCATCACAAACTTGTATGCTTGCAACAACACTTCTGGACCTTTAGTTAAAACATAGTTCCTGGCTGTGTTCTATTCCCAGTTATCCCCCTATTCGTTTAGATCATTCTAACTTTCAAATTTGCATTGATTAAAAAAAAAGAAGCATTAAAGTCATCACGCAGGTGTAATTTAGTTTAAAAGATTTTTTTTTACATTACAGTTTTAGTGATCTTCATGACTACAAATGCACTCCCTTCACTGTGCATTTTGAAAACATTGATGTCATTTTGAACACAGCCATGGCTCATGACGAAAGCTATAGGTGACCTATTATTTTAAAGCAGAATTTGTTACTTTCCAAAGCTTGTGAAAACAAACAAGCAAAAAAAAAAAAAAACAGCATATGGCAATCATTTAAATTTATAGTGGGTTATTTATCAAGTATTTGTACTGTTTATAACATGGGCCTGTTGGTTAGAACATTTCTGCAGTGGTTTGCATGTGTCAAATTAAAAAAGAAATAATCATTTCCTAATAAATATTAAATATTAAATCTCATTTCTTAATAAATAGCCTTATTTATTTATTTATGTATTTATTGCTATATGATATTACAATACGTGTTAGGTATTGTAAGTGATTTTATATTTTAGAATAGAATATGGCCTATTCTGAAGAATATTTGTAAAGGAATCTTAGGCCCTATGTGTGCCGTTTACATATATTTCAATTAATATGGAAAGCGAGTGCATGTTTTTACCAAAAGTAATATTGGACTTTTTTATGCGTGTGCGTTTAAAACAATAAAAATTGCACAAAAAATTATGGAGTTCTTCTCTAAAAAAGTTGTTACAACCCTGTTAAGAGTATCATTCAAACGACAGATTTGCGACAGAGAAACCACTCATCACTACATCATTCTTTTCCCAAACAATGCATCATACTTTGATAGTCCAGCCGCGGATTACATCGTTTTTTTGGGAAACACACCCCTGAATGGTTATTTCTGCAGAATAAAGCCTTTCTAACTTACAAGCATGAATTTGTATTAAAATAATGCATTAGTAAATGTTGACCTATGAATAATCCTATTATATAACAATATTAATATCATCCTTTTGTTAAATCAGAAACTCTCTTCAATATCTTGTGTGCTTGCATTATAAACAGCGCTCTGTGTGTTTGGCAGTCATGTGAACGGGTTAGTGTTGTCTTTGTGTTGTGTGTGAGTCACTGTTGGGTGTGTCACAGACTGGTTTGAAAGCCCAGAGGAAGAGATACTTTTAAAGGAGTTGGAGTTGAGTCACAGAGAGACTCAGAACTGCGTAAGCTTATTTGTCACACTTCCTCATTTTTATTCTTAAACCTTCACATCGCTGGATAAACAATGGATCCTGCAATACCACTTACTGTTTCCTCAGGCTTTTTAGAGGAGCTTATTGTCAGTGAATCCAAAGAGAGATCTTGGAGAGGTGTCTGTTCGGTGTGCTGGGCTTCAATGCTTTTCTTTTGGCTTTGTGGTGGAGAATGATGCGTCTGTGGGGGAACAAACTGCTGCGCTGACTAAAAAATAAATAAATAAATAAAAAAACATGATGATAAATGACTGACAGATTAATTATGTTTTTGTATGACAATACTAGATGTTATATGTCCAAAAATAAATAAATAAATAAAACATAATTTAGAAGTAACTGACTAAGTACTGTTCTCATTAGAGCCTCTCTTAGAAACACTCTGTCACGTTAAAGGACTAATTCACCCAGAAATGAACATTTTGTTATTAATTTATTCAGCCTCATTTTTTTTCCAATCCCCTGATACCTTTGTTCACCTTTTGAACACAAATTAAGATATTTTAGACGAAATCTGAGAGCTCTCTGGCAGCAGCATCCAGCAAGATTCAAATTAACCCAAACACATTGTCAAAACATTCACACTTTGTAAAACATGTAAAATGTAAAAACAATAAAAACAACTGTTTGTATCTTAATCATCATATTATGGTGCACTACTACAAAGAAAAATCTGTAGCCCTGCTGACTTAACACACTGCCCATATTAAGGTACGTTCACGCTGCATGCAAAAGTGGCCTGAATCAGATTTTTTTTTGCCCACATGTAACTAATTTCTGTTTTTGTCTTGATTGTGTGAACAGCCCAAATCGTGTGGAATCTGATCTTTTCAATTCAGATGTGTGCCACTTTCATGTGTAGTATTAAATCAGATACAGATCTGATGTTTTGCGAAGTGACTGCAGTGTGAACAGTCATGTTGGATTCCATTTGACTATTATAATCTTTGAGTGACATGCTGCAAACATCATCTACTCTTTAATAGCACACAGGGCTAATACTTTAGCACAAAAAGTTGGTTCTTCAATTTGGAAAAACAAAGATGAACACAAAACTGGCGCTAGTTAAATAATTATTAACCATTAACCTTTTAAAAATATGTATTGTTCAGTTAGATTTAACATACAGTGCACCGGGAAAGTATTCATAGCGCTTCCTTTTTCCACATTTTTTATGTTACAGCCTTATTCCAAAATGGATTAAATTCATTTATTTCCTCAAAATTCTACACACACTGCCCCATAATGACAATGTGGAAAAAAAAAAGATTTTTATTAAAAATGAAATACCTGACAAATCACATGTACATAAGTATTCAAAGCCTTTGCTCAATGGGCAGTCCTGTTTTGGAGGTCTACAGACATTTTTTATTTATTTTTTTGTCTTCATGCTTGGTTTGTGCTTTGACATGCACTGTCAACCTTACAACCTTATATAGACAGGTGTATGCCTTTTCAAATCATGTCCAATCAACTGAATTTACCACAGATAAACTCCAATTAAGCTACTGAAACATCTTAAGAATAATCAGTAGAAACAGAATGTACCTGAGCTCAAAGTATGTCCATAAAAGTTGCATATAAAATAAATAAAACGCATAGGGCTATGCAAAACAGCTGTAACACATTTAATAAATTAATACAATAACAGAACCAAACATAAAAGACTACGATATGAAAATGATTTGAATTTAAAAATTTGCAAATTTCATTAATCTTTGCTGAGTTCACCACACTAGGGGTCAGAAAGATACACACTGCACTTGTGATAAATCACAAATGATCAGTGTTTTCAATAATAATTGACTTATTTTAGGTTTTGAATGTCACTTGCGTAGTGAAGGCTTGCTAACTTTACAATCGCTTTCTCTGAAAAATGTCTGAGACATCATTTTCATAACACATCATTTTTGTTATTGAGTTTTTTGTCTGTTTACTTTTTTCCCCAGAAATACTTTGGTCACACTTTACAATAAGGTTCATTAGCATGAACAAACAATGAACAATACATCTACTACTGTATTTGTTCATGTTAGTTAATGTTACTTAATGGTGCATGGTCCATTAACTAATGTTAACAAGCATGGACTTGGATGTTAATAATGCATTAGTAAATGTTCAATTATGATTAATAAATGCTGTACAAGTGTTGTTCATGATTAGTTCATGTTAGTAAATGCATTAACTAATGAACCTTATTGTAAAGTGTTACCAAAACTTTTTTTTTTATCTGAATAATTAGTATGTTGTTAAAGGGATAGTTCACACAAACATGAAAATCTTGTCATCATTTACTCACCCTTGACTTGTTTCAAACCAATTTTAAAACAAAATTCAGCTTTTTTTGCCTTGTTCTGTTGAACACAAAATATATATTGAAACATTTTAAAAACCTGTAACCACTAACATTTATAGTAGGAAAAACAAATAAGTCAATGGTGTCAGGTTTCTAAAATTCTTCAGTACATCTTCCTTTGTGTTCAACAGAAGAAAGATACTCAAACTAGTTAAAATAATTTAAGGGTAAGTGAATGATAACATTTTACTTTTTTGGTGAACTATCACTTTAATGTTTGGTATAGTTTACAATTTTGGTTTCTAATTTCGAGGGATAATTCAATCAACAAACAAACAAAAAAAATAAATAAAAAAAGTATTCCCTGAATGCAGTGTAAGTCACTTGAAAAAAATAGTTGCAAAGTGTATGTATCACTACTATTAAATACCTGAAGTGAATGTAGTCTTTTATACTCTTCATTGTTGTCCTCCATTTTAGCTCGTGTCTGTCTTTGACTATAATACTCCACCCACCATAAATTGATGAATTGCTCAAAGTTCTTGCTGTAATCCCTAAAAGATGATTCATTGGCAGCCTGTGGATCATATGGAAGATGCCAGGGTTTGGTTCCTCCCAAGAAATGGACAATTTTTGCATGGTGGCCATACCTGTGCAAATGCAAAATTATTTCTTGGCTATATTAATGTATTAATAAAGTAAGATATAAGAGTAGTTAACAACCAGTATAGAAATGAATAACATCAAGAATTATTAGCATGCTCATGTAAAGAGTTTAAGGGAAACTTACTGCTGAAATGCTGGCAGATATGTGTAGACAGCACTTGCTGTCAGGTTGTACACAAATGGCAGATGCTTCCTGATATCTTTTACTGCCCAATCATTGAAGAAAGTGTTTAAAAGACCCTGGTCTCCCCCTGTACACGACAGATTGTGGTTTATTAATGTCATTTAGATTAGTATCTAAAGTGCCTGAAATGAGCGAGTGAGTGTGAGAATCCATTTTTGCTATTTTAAAGCAGTGGTGAGGTCAGACATGTTTAATTGGGTGGACCTAGGTAAAAATAGGGTGGACCTCCATACCTACATGCTTCTACCATATAAAAACTAGTTTCTTATACTATATGTATCATCCCTGAGTAAAAAAAAAATCCAATCTCCAATTTTGATACTGAATTACTTTCTTCTTTAATAAGCTAGAAATAAGAGAAATTGAAAGAAAATTTGAAAACATGAACTACTGTAGGTGTTTATTTGGCTGAAAAATATATTCTCAATAAAACAAGAGGCAACCACTGCACCTTAATCAAAGCTTGAGCAATTGTTTATTTAGGTTAAATAGTTTAAATTTCAAAATATGAAATAAAACTTTTTTTTTTTTTAATTTGAGACTACGCTACATAAAACACAACCACATAAAAACATTTGGCAGACTGAATAAAATGCTAATTCACTCTCTGCCAGTAGAAGGGACTAGTATGAAATGCTCTACAGAAGCCAGTAGTAAGTTCCAGCACAACTGGAGGCTGCAGTCACAACAGGCTGCAGTTTCAGGCAGGAATGTGTTACTATTTTTTCTTAATCTACCCAATAGGATGACATAGTGAAGGCTGAACACCTGCAGCAGGCAGATCTACAGCCCAGATGGTTTTACAACCCTGTTGGTCCTGATCTGTCCAGTATGAGTAAAATACAGCCAAATATTATATTGTATTACCTTTTATATTTACACACTGTAAAACCCAAAAAGCTAAGGTAACTAAAACCATTTCAGAACACTGATTGTAACAACCCTTTTAAGAAAAAACTAATCCCAATGAGTACTGAGAACTTCAACTGTTTAAGTAAATAAAGCAATTTGAGCACAGTAAAACCCAATAAATGAAGAGAACTCAACCAACAAAGTACTGTAAACAGTAACTCAAACCGTTTGAAGAAGCCAATTGCTACAAACAATTTGAGTTAAAAAACTAATCTATATGAGTACTGTGAACTTACTCCATTTAAGTTGAAGTAATGAGGTATTTAATTAAGTCATTACCTTCAACACTGAGTTTAAAACTCTTTTCAAATGAGTAGAATTACTTTCAGTAAATTTTGAGTTCACTACACTTTTTTTTTCATTTTATTTGATAAAGTTGACTGGATTTTAAAATATACTTAACTGTGTGTTTTGACATTACATTGACATATTTGCTGTGAGTGTTGCGTTTAGGGGTGTAGGGCCATATACAAAGCCGTTTTTGATTAACCCCCTTGCTTGCTGTCTATGTTGTTCAACTAGGGCCCTAGAAAGGCAGTCCTGAAACTGCAGCCTCTCTGATTGTGCAGCAACATCATTCTCGCAGGTGCCAATTCAATTGCACTTAACCTACACACATTTAAGGAAATCCATTGACACACAAATATATTGAATTAAGTCATACATAGTTTAGATGTTCATTCTAACTGCAAATAAGATCAAATATAAATTTTTTCAGACCTAAAAAAAAAAAAAAACATGAACATGCAGATTAGAAAACAATGAAAACTACCCAAATATGATTTAAAAACAGGAAAATGGTCAGCATGCATGGAGCATGATTAAATTATGAAATTATTAAATTATGGTATTAAATAATGGAATGATTTACCCCATACAACAAAAACATGTTCCTCTTTAACAGGTTTTAATTTAAAGAGGATTGCACAAGCAATCGCTTCAATTTTGGTCTGTAATTTTGTAAAAATTGTATGTATCATTTAATTTTTTTATAGTTGTGTGTGTATGTGGCTTTGTCATTTCATTTGTGTGTATTATTACTCAATTATTCATTCATTTTCTTGTCGGTTTAGTCCCTTTATTAATCCAGGGTCGCCACAACAAAATGAACCGCCAACTTATTCAGCACATTTTTACACAGCGGATGACCTTCCAGCTGCAACCCATGTATGGGAAACATTCACACACACATACAATTTACCCTACCTAGCTAACCTGTACCACATGTCTTTGGACTGTGGAGGAAACCCACGCGAATGCAGGGAAACATATAAGAAGCGCCAACTGAGCCGAGGTTCGAACCAGCGACCCAGCGACCTTCTTGCTGTACAGCAACAGAACTACCTACTGCGCCACTGTGTTGTCTGTGTATTATCATTCACTTGTAATTGTAATTCAGCATTTGTTGTAATGCAATTGTTTTGTCAGTCTTTTTATTATTATTATTATTTAGATTATTTGGGGCTTGTTGCCTCTTTCTGCACATATTAATTTATGTGCAGAGGGTTTCTTTTTTTCTGTTTTATTCTAATATTTTTGTATTCCAGTGCAAATAAAGTAAAATAAATTATATAAAAGGATCTTAATGAGTTATAAGTGTGTTTTGGGCGTACCCTGCATTATCAGAATCCCATCTCCCATTCCCTTTTAAAGCCAGTTGAAGTCATGTGCATTTCTTATTTACATGGTGGGAATGCATCACTTGATAGGAAATGAATCTGCATGTGCATGAGGTTAAAGCATGGGAGCAGACTTTACAGGCTTTACCAAAGCCCCCTGAGGTGAAAAATGCAAGGAAGGAGGTAGCAGTTTTAATATTTTTTTGTAGTCAAATAGTAATCCTTTAAATTTCAATCCTTTCATTTTCCATGTTTAAAGATGTTTTTATGCTGCTGCAAATCCCTGTGTGTGTGTAATAAGCAATGCATACATGAGTTGTAGACCTGTCTATAGACGCATAGTGTGAGTGAGTGAGTGAGTGAGTGAGTGAGTGAGTGAGTGAGTGAGTGAGTGAGTGAGTGAGTGATTAAAGATACACCCCTGTTTAAAGTTTCTTAATTTGTGAAGTCCCCAAATCTCAAATAATCTCAAAAATAAAATAAATGTATTTAATCATGTGATGGCTGAATTTAAAGACAATGTATGATCCTTTGGAATGTATTCTAATATGCGTAATTGGTCCTTAAGTATTATTCTTTATTATCAGTGTTGACAAATTGGATTTTTAATATTTTGTGGAATTGTTGTATTTGTTTAAAGATTCTTTGATGAATAAATCCAACAGAAAAAATATGTTGAAGCCTTCTAAACATGCTGGCTTGTTCATTTCAATAAATTTAATAAATTCTTGTTAAAAAAGAAGTCATTTTAACTTTTAAATGGTAGTGTGAATGTGATGCTCCTGTTGTTTCTGAAGATTAAAAACACTAATGTGGCAAAGCAGCCTTTGAGGCTAATTAGTTCCCACACACTTTGAGCGCCACCAATGTAGCCCCAACTTAAAAGATCTGAATGTAATATAAGCTAAATATAACTGAGTGACTCACCATCAAAGCTGCCGTGCTGTGCGGCGTGTTCCAGTATTTGTGTGTGAGTATTCAGGGAGGGCCGAAACACAAATACACCAGTGTTGAAGCAATCCGGCCATCCTGGATCAGGTGCCGCAGACAGTTCTTCATATTCAAATAGCTCATCCACATTACACAGTACCTACAGCACAATGACACACAATTTAGGACCACTCCACTTACTGTTTCAATTGATTAAGATCATGTGATTAACAGATGATTAAGAATGTATTGACGGTATGTGGTTATAGGAGCAGCAAAGGAGTGCTAGGTGGAAAATTAGTATTAAAAAGCATAAAAATGTTACAATTACAGTTTTATGCAAAAGTTTGGCCACCCTTGATAATTTTCATAATTGTAAGCTATAGCCTGCTGTCTGTTTAAATCAGCAATTTCATGTGGATTAATTTTATACATATAGAAAAAGCGGCATTTCAGTTCTGACTATTTAATCAACAGATGCAATGCAATTTAAGCCATAACAAAAACAAGTGGGTGCATAAATTTGGGCACCCCAGCAGAAAAAAAATGACATTAATCCTTTGTACAGCCACTTTATTATAAGTCTGATGATGCTTTTCAAAGCCAAGTATAAGCTGCTGAAATCTTGCTGATGGAATTTTGGACCATTCTTCCTTGCAGAATTTCTCTAGTTCAGTTAGGGTTCACGGGAGCCGAGTGTGAAATCAAACTTTTCAAATCCATCCATAGATTTTCGATGATGTTCAAGTATAGGGACTGGGTCATTGTCCTGCTGAAACATCCAACCCTGCAATAACTTCTGACTGATTCCTGAAAATTGTTCTTCAGAATCTGCTATTATTGGGTGGACTTCATACAACATGACAAGGTTTCAAGTACCTGTGTTTGCCACAGATTCCCACAGCATGATGGACCCTCCACCATATTTTACAGTAGGGAGCAAGTCCTGGAAAGCTGTGCTGTTTTTCCACAGTATATTTTTCCAAAATAATTCAAGCTTGTCCAGATAAGCCTTTGAATACTTTAAATGACTCTTCTTGTTGGCAGAATGCAGAAAAGTCTTCTTCATCACGTTCTATTGATCTGTCCTTTGTGAAGAGTTTGCTGGATTGTGACACAATCTATAATGACATTATTAGCAGCAAGATGTTGCGCTCTTTATAGGTCATGCTTCACCTTTGCCTTTCAGATATTTTTCTTGGTCCAGCACATCCTTCCTTCACAAGAACTGTTCTTGTGGCCTTCCATTTTCTTATTATATTTCTGACTGTGGAGATGGAGACTTTAAACCTTTGAGATAGCTTTTTGCATCTTTCTTCTAATTCATTTTAATCAATTATTTTGGGTCATTAAGAAGTTCTTTTGAGGTTCCCATGTTGCTATTTTCTGGTTAACAATAGGGAGAGGCACAACCAGCAATCAGCTATCTTACATATCCTTTTTTCATCATTGTTTCACCGGTGTTAGGATTGTCAAGGTTCACTGAGTAACTCAAATATAGTTTGTGTTGTAATCATTCAGCAATAAGTGACTACAGGTTTTAAAATGCACACAAAAGAGTGGGTGCTCAAACTATTGCATATCCTATTTTTCAGTTTCAATTTAATTTCACACGTCTCAATACTGCTACACTACTCATTTCTGTCAGAAAAACACAACATTATTTAACTTTCTCTAGAAACTGAATTTCACTGTGATCTTTTACAAAGGAAGACCACTTCACTTTGCAGCCACAGAGGGGTGCCCAATTTTTTTTCCACAAAACTAAATATATTTATAAATTTAATTGTTTGAACATTTAAATAATTTAATAAACAAATAATAGAAATGCTGCGCCGTGAATTGTTTATAATGACAATAATTATTCTTGTTCAAAATAAACATAACAATAATTTTGTACACAAAGAAAAAAAATTACTTGCATCTTTACTTTGATCTGACATACAGTTAAAATCAAAATTATTAAACCCCCTTTAATTTTTTTTTTCTTTTCAAAATATTTCCCAAATGATGTTTAACAGAGCAAGGAAATGTTCACAGCATGTCTGATAATATTTTTCTTTTTGACAAAGCCTTTATTTTGACTAGATTAAAAGCAGTTTATATTTATTTATTTATTTTTTATTTTTTTTTATTAGCCCCTTTAAGCTATATATTTTTTCAATAGTCTACAGAACATTATACAATAACTTGCCTAATTACCCTATCTTACCTAGTTAAACAAATAACTGAGTTAAGCCTTTAAATGTCACTTTAAATGTCTTGAAACATATCTAGTAAAATATTATTTACTGTCGTCATGGCAAAGATAAAATAAATCAGTTAATATAAATGAGTTGATTGAAAATATTATGTTTAGAAATGTGTTAAAAAAAACTTCTCTCCTTTAAACTAAAATTGGGGGAAATAAACAGGGGGCTAATAATTCAGAGAGGCTGATAATTCTGATTTCAACTGTAACTGTGATATTTATTAAGTACTCACAAGTGTGTCTGCATCCAAGAACACACACTTGCTGTACTGCGTAAGGGTCCAGCAGTGTAGTTTGGTGAAGGTGACCCCCAATTCAGGACGTCCCAGCCAGGCGAGATGAGCCTTGTCTTTACTATCCAACACATCAACTACAAAAACCTCATCAAAAATGTCCTCCAGAGCCAATCTAGACAAACACATCGAATGAGGCAAAGAAGTTAAAGACAAAGATAGATTGGAAGTGACTTAAGTATTACATTTATGAAAGCCACATTGTAAAGTCAAATGTACAAAAGGAGCTCAATTACTCTTAATTGCTCTTCTGTACGGAACATCTTACTGTTATTTTACAATGAATGATGGAGGTAAGTTCTTCTCTCACCTGGCTGATCTAGAAACATTGGGGGAAACCATCACCACTATCTTCCTTGACGTTCCATGTCTGCGCAAACTTTTGCCTACTACTATACATCCCATGCTATAGGCATCTGTAGTGGCCAGAGTCACAAAAGCCTGAGTCTCTAAGAGAAGATAAAATACAAGGCAGAAATAAGAAAAGAGAGCATATAGAATGTCCAGCATTAATTAATACTCCACCTTTTTGAAAATTAATATGTTTAGCCATTACTCAGTGAATATAGATTATATATTTTGGTACAATTTAACAAAAGAGTTTTATGAAGTCATAGTTATAGTCATTAAAATAATAGCTTGATCACCTAAAATCTTTGGACAAAGAAAAATAATACATTCATATTCTAACAAAAATGGGAATAAAATTTGCACACTGCAAATGTTCAATGAAATTGTGTATTTTTTTTTTTTTTGTTTGTTTCTCTTAATTTGTCCTCTTTTTTTAGAATTTTATTTAAAACTTTCCCTTACATATTCATTTGGGTGTACACATTTTTGTTCAATTATCTAAAGTTTTTGTTTGTTAGATTAGCTCCAGGTTTGGCTTTGTTACTGACTATATATAATGTATATGCATAGAAAGTATTGCTTATACATGTAGAAAATAATATTTTAAAAGATAAATCTGTGGACGGAGAACTTATTTGTGCTAAGCGCTGTATGTGCATTGGACCAGTTTGACTACATTTTTGTTTTTGCACTCATTTTTATTTTGCTGCATTAAAAAAAAAAAAAAAAAAAACAGCTCAGATTTACATTTTAATTTTGGATAAGGCTCTTGGAGATAATGTCTTAATTCATCATTCCACAAGTTAAAGTTTCAAAACAAGCTATTAAATAAGATTAGAAAAGTCAATATTCATAGGCCCTCTGACAAAAACATTTGGTTGTCAGTTCAACTTTAGTTCTTAATCTTGTGCTAAACACACAAAGTTCAGTGATTTATAAGATTGACGATCACATTCAATAGCCAAATTAATTCCCAAAAATTACAATGTATAACATGAAACCTTAATTTACAACTAGTGATATACTGTATTTGATTGCACATCTGCGTATCTACAATAATGATATTTATGTTATATTTTTTAAGATATTTAATAGATATTTTGCAACAATATGAACAATGTCTACCTAAACAAAACAAACAAAGAAAATTTGTAAAAATAAATAATAAAAAAATAAAAAAGATCCTAAACTAAATTGGCCTTAGTGTATAAGTGTGTCTGAATGTGAGAGTGTATTAGAGTGTATATGTTTGTGGCTGCAAGGGCATTCGCTGCATAAAACATATGCCGATTTAAACCTGCTGAAACTCTTTCAATTCAATGTGTACTTATTGTTTTATTTGTAATTTTACAATTTATTAGCAATATGCAAAAATGTAGTGTAAAAGCTCTTTTCTGGGTCACCATTAGGTTAGGGTGATTAGACAAGTTATTGTATATCGATGGTTTGTTCTGTAGACAGTCAAAAATATATATATATAGTTTAAAGGGGCTAACATTTATGTCCTTAAAATGATGTTTAAAACGCTAAAAACTGCTTTTATTCTAGTTGAATTAAAACAAATAAGACTTTCTCCAGAAGAAAAAAAAAGATATTATCAGACATAATGTGAACATTTCCTTGCTCTGTTAAACATAATTTCGAAAATATTTAAAGAAAGAAAGAAAAAAAGAAAATCAAAGGGCTAATAATTCTGACTTTAATTGTATATTTGTGTGTGTATGTGTGTGTTTATATATATATATATATATATATATATATATATATATATATATATATATATATATACACACACATACATACATACATACATACATACATACATACATATATATATAGTCTTTGTCTAGAATGATTGTGACATTTAAACAATAATAGTATAATACAATAAATAATAATAATAATAATAATAATAATAATAATAATAATAATAATAATAATAATAATAATAAAGAAAAACAACCATGTGTGTCAAAACGTTTTGATTGACAGTATCAGGAAAGTATCAAAAGCATCCAAGGTCTCATGTTTAACTCTGTGAACCATCACATATTCACCTTGCACTGTGATCTGGTTACTGATATGCACAACAAATCAACACATTTGTTTTCCTGACCCACTTTTTGTCGTCCTCTATGTCAGTGACAAAGCTTTGTATGACCCTTCACTGTCAGTGATTGAACGTGGATTGGTTCAACAGGCATGACATCCTAGGCTATTACTATTATTTGACAGCCCAGCTTGGAATATCAATTTGGTTCAAACCACCATTTTCAGTTAAAAACAGGTTTGCTATTGAGTAAAATCACATTACCAGACTTTTTACCTATTTACAGTAATAGTCTATAAGAGATCTTGGTTATGAATCTACACATATTTCAAGCTTGTTTTTGACATTTGGTCATAAACAAAACGGGAATAATCCACTTACCGGCCATTTCTAGTTTTTTTCGCGTTCTTCTTGGAGATGAAGAAACCTGTACGGTACAATTTCTAGTAAGTAAATATTGCAGTATTTAAATTAAATGACTAAATCATAGTAGAGCTGTGAGAAGTCTTTCAACAGCAGAGCGTCCTCATATGTAGTTCACGGACAGTGGAAAAAAAAGCTGTTTAAAGCACGCGACTAAGGTCATTCAACTCCTATTACTATCACTGTACATGAATGAGCAACTACAGATATTGATTACACAATTACAAATATGGAACTCAAAGAAAAACATGTGCGGCACAGAAGGGAGAAAGACTTAGTTTAAGATCAAAATTATAAGATATGTAAGCCTATTAGTGTAGTCAGCTTTTAGACTTATTAGCCCAAAATGAGTTTGCTGTAATCACTATTTAAAGAGATAGTTCACCCAATACACACAAAAAAAAAAAAAAAAAAAAAAAAAAATACAACTATTGGATAGAATATTTGTTACCAGAGATGGGCAAAAATACATTGAAATGTATTTTAAATTTAAAATACCAAATACCTCAATTTTACATTTATCAAAACAAACTATAATACAGCAGCCACAACAAGTTTCAAAATAAAATATTGTATTTTGAAAATACTACAACATACTATTACATGAGAGTATAACATCTCTTTATAAACCTTTAATATATTTGATCAATCCACTAAATACCATTAAACTGAGCAAGTTTAAGTCAGCCACTGACTTGTTTTTTAATTTGGTTTTATTTTCTTGGCATCTACATCAGCAATTCATCCTAAATATTATATGTGCAGTTTACACATTCTCACAAGCTTTTTTTTAGCTCTCCCTTAATCTGGAAAAGTCGCAGTTTAGCCCCTTAGTGAACACCAGTACAGCATCCTTAGGTGTGTTATTATTCTAAAGTTCATCTGAATTTTACCTGCAGCACTGAGACTGAAAATGGTTGTGTGCCAAAGGCTCCATATCTCATTTCTTAAGCAAAGATGCATAATTTCCATCCATACTACAAGCGTTGGCCACCTTCATAATACATTTTCTGTTCTGACCTCAAGCAAATAACTGGGAAAACATCACTCTGAGGCCACATTTTTAAGATGTCATCATGTAGACTTTTTACAAAGTATTTTACAGAATTTTAAAAATACAAGACCCTTAAGTATTTTGGTACAAATATTTAACCCATTTTCTTAAATCCTATCATATACAATTATATTTATACAATATATCAAATACAATTTTGTATTTAAAATATATTTTTGAAACACTTGTATCATAAATACTGCCTATCCTTATTTGTAACTATGAAGATCAATAGTTGCACATTTCTAACAAAATATCTTCTTTTGTGTTCAACAGATTAAAGAAACCCATAAAGGTATGGGACCACTTGGGGGTGAGTAAATAGTGCGTTGACTAATAAATTAATTACCATTTAATAATAAACTAATAAGTTAACTTAATTCCTTGACATTCTCCAAACACAAATGTATTATACTGAACCTAGCCTTTTTTACAATGTATTTTACATAAAAAAAAAAAAACATTTAAAGCGATAGAAAAAGTTATTATTATTATTTTTTTTACTCATTCTCCCCCACAACTTTTCCAAACACTTGTTTAGTATTCAAAAGAAGAAACAAAAAAATCCATAAACTTGTCTTTTTGGGTGAACTATCTGTTTTTCTCAACTTTGGACATACAGACAAAATATCAGGCAACAATTAAAAAAAAAACATTTACAAAAAGTTCAAAATTAAAAAAAAAATTAAATTTAGGAATGGCAGTGGCTTTATTAAAGGAAGTAACAGCAAGTGTATGTTAAAAACAAAAGCACACACAGACAATAAAACAAGAATTTCAATGATATAATAACATGAAAATGGGCATTCTTAAATTTGTATGTTTCTGAAGCAGTATTTATGAATGAATACATTGAATTTTAAATACATTTAAATAAAGAACATGCAAAAACAAAATTAACTTGCATTCCACAATTTTAAATGTACTCATGATTGTTTTATCTTTTAATTGACATTTTTTAAAAAGATCAGTGAGGTTCTCATCAGCATTATTATAGATTTCTATCTAAATGTTAAAAACGCTTCAATACAAACATATTGTGTAAGAATGAACAAAAGGATAACTTTTGTATTCATCTGTATAGACAGCTTGCACTTAACAAAAGCAAGTCCCTCATGAAACTTGCTGTATACATCTACAAAAATAGTAACAACTTTGTCAGTGTAAAGTGGAGTTTCTTACAATGGAACTATTTTAAAGCAAAACAGCATTAAAAGCAGTTTAGTGACAGAACTCTACATCCTCCAAAGATTAATTAGTCAAGAGAAAACGTTGGTAACACTTTGCAATCTGGTGCACATGAAGTTAGATATTTACTAACATGAACTAATGATAAACAATTCATTAAAATCTAAATGCTGTGCTTGTTAACATTAGTTGATGTGCCGTGAGTTAACATGAACTAACATTAAACAATTGTACTTTTATTATTCAACGTTAACAAATATGAATAATATTGTTCATTGTTTGTTCATGTTAGTAAATACATTAGCATTTATAAAGTGTCAAATATCGTAGAGTGTTACAGAAATGTTAAATCCAAAAAATTTAATAAAAAAAGAAAAACACATTCTTAAAGGTAGTACAACATAAATTGTAAAGCATCCCAAAAAAAAAAAAAAAAAAAAAAAGACACTAATGTTTTTACACTTACACTAAGCCCAGCATTTTACAAAACAGATGTTTCCCATAGGGTTAGGCTCTCCATATCTGTACATGCTTAGTGCATATATTCTTTCAGTGCTCAGATCCAGCATCAGTTATGATGAACGGAGCAGGTTACTGAGAACTGTAGGGGAGAAAAGTAGACAAAAGTCAACAACTAGTAAAAAATGTTTCAGAAAGCAATAAATAAACCTAAGGAAACATACATATATAACTTCTGAAAACTTAATACTTATAATAAATGCAATAAACTTGACATCCATTACAACCAAAACTAAATAATAACTGAGAAATGCATTAAACTCTTCAAAATGTGACATTAAAGATGTAATGTTTCTACATTGAAATTACATTAATATTTCAAAACATTTATTTTATATTACAAAACAAAAACTGTTTTTGCTGTAGTTTTGATCTAAAAAAAATACTTTTCTGAGAATAGCACGATTAAAAAAAACAAATAGCGTCACACCATTCAAACTTGGTGTGGATATTCATGTTAACTAAATGAAACAATCACAGACAGATTTGCATGCTGCATGTGGAGTCAAATTTGGAGTCAATATTAATAAAAACAATAAATATTAATAATATAACAAGAACATAATAATCTTACCTTGTGGCTCGGAATTAGTACCATGGCTTTTGCCACTCTCTGGATCTTCCCCTATAAGAACAATAACTTTTTAGCTCATCCTGATATTTAATATTGTTTATGCCTAATTTTCACACTGTAAGTCTCTTACTGAAGTTCCATGAAAACACCATTAACATTTCTCTCACATGGTGCTAAAGGAGTCATCAGCCACTTTTTTAACATGGTCTTAAAAAACTCGACTCTGGTGGGACTCGAACCCACAACCTTTGAATCACTTCTCTAAGTGAGGCTTAGAAGTCCAATGCGCTATCCATTGCGCCACAGAGCCACCTGTTGAGCCCTCGAGGCCTTTGTAATACAAGCAAAGCAGTTCAACAGCCTTCCACGTCATCCGCCCAACCCCCACTTCCTCTACAAGAGCTGCTGTTTGAGTTCAGCTACTTTTAACTCTGTATTGGGGCTCCCACCAGTGTTTACACAGTCGCAAGACAACTTATACGCCACAACAAGGCTTTAGACTTGTAAGTTTTGTAACTGTAAGTTTTTAATTTCTTCTGTGCAATCTGAACTATTCAAATAGGCAAGCCTCACTCAAATATCTAAACCAGGCTAGTACTTTTTTGAGGATTGAAATACTTTCCTCGAGAAAAAAAAAAAAAAAAAAAAAAAAAAAAAAAAAAAAAAATATATATATATATATATATATATATATATATATATATATATATAAAGGGGGGGGGGCAACTTACCTCCTTGCACTTTAAAACAAAGTTTCTTTTTCTGATACGCAAAGTAACTGGAGGCAGCCCCGAGAACAGCAACTCCTACAGAACTGATGATGGCAGCCAGAGCTCCGCCTGTGGGACACATTTAAAGAGACACACATAAGATAATAAAAGGACAAGTGGTAGTTACAAATGCTTTTAAATGACGGAGGTAATTTGAAACAAAGTAACATACCAATTATTAGTAGAAGTTTGCTGACAAAACTACTGTAACTTGGGAATTTAACAAGAAATACTAAAAGGTTTTGCCACAAGGGGGCGCAACAGGAGTCAAATTCTCTACAGAATACATGGGAAATGTGCCAGTACACAATGTTCTTCAACTAGACGTGTTTTCTTTTTAATTTACATGTCACAACAAACTATGGAAAATAAAAGTTTACAAAATGTATACAGACTTTATTGATTAAATAATTAAATAGATTCATTACATAGATCACTGATAACTTTACTAGGTCTCCATCTTAAGAAAAAAGATTCATAATTTTGAAAACTACATATCTGACATTGCACAATTATGATTTACTGAACTAGAAAATAAGTTGCTGTAATTCCGCTGTCATGTGGTGTAAACATTATGGGTGTTGGCTGCATGCGGCCAATTTTTTTTGTGAATGCAAATATGCCTGCAGGAGATAACTTGACTAAAGAGAGCCTGTCGAATTACTTGCATAAGCTAAAGACTAAAAAGCTTCAGTTCTAACCTTCTACAAACATAGGCTACTTCTCTAAAGCTTATGAAGCTTGCTAATATTAGAGGCTATCGCTAATTCACTCTCTCTAGCTGGCAGGCCAGTGTTCTTCACACATGCGCAATACATTCTCGCCATGCCATTGTTGATGGTGTTAGTTTACCGGCTCACATATGCTGACAATGAAAAAAGAACAGGGCCAAAGCAGTTGGGTGTGACTGACATTAACCAAACAGAAGGAATTCTCACATTTCACTTTATTAAATATGATCATAGATCGCCAAAAAGACAACGTTTTAAAATCAAAGAGTGGTACAGAAATTAAGTAAAGTAAGCAAATTTTGCAGATTTTTAATAAACCAACACTAGAGAATGCTAATGCTAAAGACACTGTTTCATAAAGTAAACAAACCATCACTCTAAGGTTGAGATATACAAGAGATTACAACAATAACAGGGTTTCTGCAGGTTTCACCAAGTTAAGTTTAAGACATTTTTTGAGACCATTATGAATTAAATTTCTTTGTTTCTTTGTCTGAAGACTCACACACACATAATTACATTTTACATTTTTTTATTTTCACTTTTTTTTTAGCAAAATATTTCTAATATTGTGTCAAAACATGCAAGGTCTAGTTGCATACACTTTCAGCAAAAAAGAAAAAAGAAAAAAAAAGACAAATGTTTTATAAACTGTAATTAACTAAATGTATAAACAACAGTCTGAGGTCAGTGTCCTCAATAGTAAATACATTTTAACTTTAAAGAAATGTTACTGTAAGGTAAATAAAGTTAAAAATGGCATTTTTTTATTTTTATTTAAAGTTTAAATTTTTATTGAGATGGGCTGAGATGGGGATTGTATGGGGGTTAATGGCCAGATAGGGTAGGTATACACAAATTAAAGAAAATTAGGACCTGTTAAAAATACATAAATTAATTAAGACCTACAGTTGAAATCAGAACTATTAGCCCCCCTTTGATTTTTTTCTTTTTTTTAATATATTTCCCAGTTTCACAGTATGTCTAATATTTTTTGTTCTTCTGGAGAAAATCTAATTTGTTTTATTTTAAATAGAATAAAAGCAGTTTTTAATTTATTAAACACCATTTTAAGGTCAAAATGAGCCCCATTTAAGATATTTTTTTTTCTATAGTCTACAGAACGAACCATCATTATACAGTAACTAATTAATTAAAATAAATCCATTATTAGAAATTAGTTATTAAAACTCTTAAGTTTAGAAATGTGTTGAAAAAATATTCTCGCCTTGAATCAGAAATTGTGGGGAAAAAAAATAAACAGGGGAGCCAGTAATTCAAGGGGTTTTATAATCCTGACCCTTACTGTACAAGCCAATATTTCAGTACTTTTTAAACCTTTTAGGCCCTAAAATTCTGTTCTTTTTTATTTTTTTATTTAAGACATTTTAAGGCTTTTTTAGACCCTGCAGATACCCTGAATAAGTGCAAACCACCGAACCACAGTGCGAACCACAAGTTCATCAACTTTGCAAATGAATTTTTCACAGCAGTAGCTGCAGTACTATAGAATAGTAAAATTTCAGTCACCTAAATAATTAAAAATCTATCCATATTAAAAAGCACCACTATTAAAGCTAAATTTACATTTTTAGGCATATCTTTACATTCTAAGATTTTGAATTGATTTAAACAAACTTCAAATGCATTTAATCTGCTTGTGCTGATCGTTTGAATAAGATGCTGCCATCTCAACCCTGGCACACACTAAACAAGTAGACCACATCCTCTGACAAAAAACAAAACTGAACAAAACTCTAGTATACTTTCAGCTGAAACATGAACTACACAAACAAATGACAATAAAGCTAACCACAAGCAGCACATAAGAATAAAGCATGTTGAAGTATTAGCATGAGCACAAGAATTTATTTTTGAACATGTTTTCTAAGATCAGTTTCTAAAAATACCATCACATGTACAGACACACAAAGCACTTTCAGCCCAGCATTCTTTTAGGATGTTCAGTAAGTTCAAATGCAAAACATAGTGTAAATGTGAACAGATGTTTGTTTTGTTTTGCGTCTTTAAGTTCAGTCTTTAAAAAAAAAAAATTAATAATAATAATTGACTTTTTTGTGCAGATAAAAAGAAACAAACTACAAGTGGGTTCACAAGAAAGTCTGTGTTAAAATCAGTTTCTTTAAATCTAAAATATTAAAAAAGTCAATGTTACAGTATGACAAGTGTCTGGGGTGAAATACATTTCATAGTGCTCGGCTCTACTTGAGATTTAGGCTGGCATAATCCCTGCCAGCATTAAAGCTTTCGGCTGAGACTCGCTCATGGACAAACATTTGCCAACTTCAATTTTCTGCTGCATTTTCAAGGTCAAGCAAGTTTAAAACTAAGCCAGAAGAAACCAGCGTTATACTGTTTCCACCTCAAATATTCCTTCTCGAGAAAATGAGTAATAAGATGGCAGACACGAGCAGAAAAAAGGAAGCACAGTAATGGAATGCTCAACATGGCCTTGGGGTTAATCCACTGCACCATAAAACCAGAAGAGATAGAAAGCTAATTCTCATTTGAGACGTGTCAAGAAGAACAAGTCGCACTGTTACTGGAACAAGAACAAGAAAATGAACACGAAAAAAATAAAAAGAATAAAAAATACGTATCCCCATTGTTTGAACACAAAAAAAGTAAAAAGACCAGACTTCCTCAGGATGTCCTAAAAGATGCAGGAGCAATAAACATTCCTTTTAAACAACAAAAGTTGAATGCTCCATTTCACAGCCAAAATCCTCATTCATCAGTATACTGATGTATTACAAACATCCATTATCTACTCCTTAATTTATACACTACTCTTCAAAAGCTTGTCTTTTTTTGTCCTTTTGTTGGGCATTTGGTTGACTAAAGACGACTGATTTACCTGTACAGACTGCCAGTTTTATTGCATTTTTAAGATCAAATACAGATAGAAATAGAATAGATACCATTTTAAAACATTTTAAAAGATAAACAACCCTATAATTTCAAAACACATTTTATGTGAGGGCAAGCTAATTCTTCAGAAATTAATCTAATAAGATAGTTTGGTAGACAAACTATTTTTATTTATTTTATTTTTCTAATTAAAAATATTTCTAATTGTCACCCATGTTGTAAACAATACTGTTTTTTTCTAAGTTTTATTTATTATAATTAATATATTTATTAAGTTTGTGGTTCATTCTACTGTGACCCCGGATTAATAAAGGTACTAAGCCGAAAAGAAAATGAATGAATGAATAATATAAGCTTTTGATACGGTCTATCACTGCACTTTAATTAAGAGGCTGCATTCTCTTGTGGGCATTACTGGGTCAGCTCTGAGTTGGTTACCCTCCTTTCTTGCTGACAGGAGTTTTTTCTGTGTCCATAGGAACTCGTATGTCAGACTCTGTTCCTCTGTTCTGTTTTGTACCTCAAGGTTCTGTCCTAGGCCCTCTTCTTTTTAATATATATATGCTTCCTCTCAGCAAGATTATTATTAGTTTTAACGATATATCTTACCACTGCTATGCAGATGATGTACAATAGGGTATATGCCGAGCTAGAGTTTTTCCCATACTGATAAACTTCTGGTGACCTCTTACTTTTAATTTTTTTTCCATTTTATACGGTTCCTTTTACAGCATCGATGTTGAAATGTCATTAAAATACATTCAGTTAAATAAACTTTGGCATTCATTTAGTTGTTCAAGCCCAAATCAAGACAAAAAGTTGTTTGCTCGCACGCGCCAGTCAGAAACGGCAGGCTATCGCAGAAGCTCCATTGACTATACTGGAGTAAAATAAATGCTCATTATATAAAGATATGGCGGGGGATAATGTAATATAATGCAGTGCTTCTTGTACAATCTAAGATCCACTTTATATCGGATATCACTCCGCTAGTGGAGAGCGCTGATTTTTAAAGAAAACAGCCTTTAAATGTGCCAGTTTTTGCATTGGCATACAGTTTGCCGGAAGCACTTAACCCAGGTTACTGGCAAATTAAAAGTCCTTATAGCATGCTTCGGTATATACCCTATTATATTTTTCTTTGGGCCCTGAGAGGCTAGACATACTGTCTCTCTTGCAGGATTGTTTAGTATATTAACAAAGGGTGACAGACAATTTTCAGCAACTGAACCCCGATAAAACAGAAATGTTAATTTTTGCTCAAGATAGCATCACCCCAATGATCAGGCAAGTTTTGGGGGGCTTGTCATCTTCAAATTGCAGTGATATTAGAAATCTTGGTGTCATTTTTGATTGAGCTATGTGTTTTAATGTTAAATCTGTTGTTCGTACATGCTTTTTCGCCTGAGAAACATTGCAAAAACAAGAGATATTGTGTCAAAGAAAGAGATGGAGATGCTTGTCCATGCTTTCATCTCTTCTAGATTGGATTATTGTAATGTTCTGTTCTCTTGTCTGAACAAATCCTCTATGGAGCGACTGCAAGTTGTGCAGAATGTAGCGCCATGGCTTTTAACCAACATAGGCGGTCACACATTACACCTGTGCTTAAGGCACTTCACTGGCTTCCTATCAGTTTTAAAGTCAATTTTAAGATTCTGGTCATTACATATAGAGCTCTGCATGGTCAAACACCCCTGTATATTCTTGATCTTTTAAGCCAGGGGTGGCCAACCCTGTTCCTGGAGAGCCACCTTCCTGCAGATTTCAGTAGCAACCCATATCAAACACACCTGCCTGTAATTATCATGTGGCGTTCATGTCCTAATTAATTGGTTGAGGTGTGTTTGATATGGGTAGCAACTGAAATCTGCAGGAAGATGGCTCTCTGTTTTAAGCAGTCACTCATGTAGCAGGTCTCTGAGGTCTTCTGGCAAAGACCTGTTAGCCATTCCCAGAACTCGTCTCCCGATAGCACTGAGAACTCTGGGATCAGTTGAACTTAAAAAGCATTTAAAGACGCACCTTTTTGGCCAAGCTTTTAACTAACAGTATTAGTGCTTCTGTATTTGGATTTTTAATTTGTTTTAATATGTTATAAAATGCCTTCTTTTATTTTCATGTTTTCTTTTACTTGTTTTTTCTTATTGTAAAGCACTTTATGACTCAATGTCTGGGAAAGGTGCTATATAAATAAACCTTTACTTACTTACTTACTAACTAATATATCTATTATATATGCGTAAACATGCAGAAAGACTTTTAATTTAATAAAAAAGACTTTTTAAAACTTGGGTCAAACGATTTCGGGGAACTGTATACTGTTACAAAAATTGGTACGTTTAAGGTATGTTTTTTTAAAAATCAACCGTCTTCACTGCCTAAATGATATACGCTATAAGGTGGATCTTAGATTGTACAAAGAATCACTGCATTAAATTTAATTTTACTGTGCCATCTTTAAAGTATTTACATATATTTTACTCCAGTATTTCTAGTTGCGTTTCTGCAGTAGCCTGCTTATCCTGACGGTCGTGTGCGAGTAAACGGCTTTTCATCTCTGTTTAGGCATCAACAACTAAATGAATGTTGAAGTCTGTTTAACTTATTACATTTAATAACATTACAACATCGATGCTGTAAAAGAAACTGTAAAAAATTGAAAAAAAGTCCCATTGACCGTTCACCAGAAAGTATATCGGTATGGGAAGAAACACTAGCTCTGCATATACCCTACTGGAATTGCTCAGTTCTTCTTATTTTTCCTCTTCTCTAGAATGCATCCCATTTTTGAGGATCTTAACATCCAAAAACTCACAAAACTTTGCACACGCACCAGAATTGGCAAATATTAAGGTTTGTTATAGGCTTCTGAAGTGCGTGTAACAAAATGGCTCAACAGTGCCATCTATACACATTTAATGAAGTGACATAAAACATGCCAATTAGTTCCAAGCGTTGTATTTTAACGAACTCCTCCTAGGGATTTTATCAGTTCAACATCAAAATTGGCTATTGTTATCACCTTGGCGATTTTAAATTGCGAAGATCTAGAGTTTTTGTTGAAGGGCGTGTTCGTGAGGACCTCACAAACTTTGATGTTTCATCATGAAACAGGAAATTGTTATAATTGCAGTCCTGACCTAAACACATTTACATGCCAACATTCAGTTACAGTCAAAGCCCCATCTGCTGCCAACAGGAAATTACATGTTTCAGTGTAACTAACTTCTCTTAAAAATTTTATCAGACTGAATCCAAGTTTAGTCAGTATGATCCAAAGACCTCTGTGATGTGAAATTGTTTTCATCAAAGGGTGTGTGGCGGATTGACAAAGTCTAGTTTTCCGCCATGGAATAACAAGTACTTATAACTCAATCACACAATATCCGAGCTGTAGAAACCATAAATCATTTAATAATGTTTTTTTATATAGTAATAAAAGTTCAGAAGAACAGTACTTATTTGACACTAATTTGTCTTACCAGTCACTTTTGATCAGTTAAAAACATCCTTTCTAAATTACCTACAGTATGAATTACTTATTATTATTTGTATTATTGTTATTACTGACGACACGATGGCTCAGTGGTTAGCACTGTCACCTCAAGCAAAAAGGCCGCTGGTTTGAGTCCCGGCTGGGTCAGTTGGCATTTTTGTGTGGAGTTTTCATGTTCTGAATAGGTGAACTGAATAAACTAAATTGGCCGTAGTGTATTAGTGTGTGTACATGAGTGTGTATGGATGTTTCTTAGTGATGGGTACAGCTGGAAGGGCATTCGCTGTGTAAAACTGTCGCTGTGATTAAAGGGACTAAGCCGAAGAAAAATGAATGAATAAATGATTTCCCACACCAAACTTTTGAAAGGTAGTGTATAAGCTTTTAACAATCCATATTACCATAAAAAGAATTAACTCACCCATACAATATGATTCATTCCACACTGCCAAACTGGCTAAATCAATACCACTAAATCTTCACCAAATATGCATAGCATCCTCAAAACAGCACCAGGAGTCCCAGCCTTATAACCAAACATAACTTGCAAACCATGTAAACAATCTGTAAAACCACTTAAAACCCAACACAATCAAAAGAAAGTTACTATCCAACACATTCACAGCTCAGCCTTGTCTTCGGTTACATTCAGAAGCCCCCGAATCTGCTCTAGCAGAGGCTTTGCTACTTGGTTAAACTTGTCAATCCAGACACTGAGGCCTTCTGGTATATTATCGACTAGCATCTTGACAAACTGGAGCCACTGCTGGTCTAGATCTGCAACGACAGACAGGCAACCGAAGCAGAGATTTAGGGCACGGCCAATGGCAGAATGAACAGTCAATTCAAGCACTCTTCAGGAATGCTAAAAGGTACCACACATACAGCCATTCACCACCCATTTAAACCAACACAGAGGAAAACAGTCTGCTAGTGGAAAACCTCAACATGTACTGCCCACAGTAATTGTTTTTGTCTGTTGGACCGCCCTGTGCTTATGTAAGTACTGTGTGAGTGTTAGTCATCGGACAAGCCTGGTTTCCATGGCTAAAACGCTTTATTTTTGTGGTCAGACTCATGAATAGTCTCTTCAAAATATAGATATAATCAAAAACAGAACACATGCTAACTTTGCTAAGAAAGACAATGCTGGATAAACTGAGCTTAATAGTATACTGCCAAAAGTAAGGAAATGAGAGAATGAGAGAGAAAGCCAAAAAAAAAAAAAAAAAAAAAAAAAAAACCCAGAGGCACTCGCTCATGTCAACATTTGAGGGAACAACTATTTTTAAGTGGACTCCAAAAGGTAAACACCATAACAACCCTCATTTTCTGATGGTACACCAAGAGACTAACTGATAGGTGAGAAAATCTATTGTGATTTGACATTTTTGAGAACAGTTTAAATAAAAAGGTACATATAATTATATATTAAATATATAATTATATATAAAATATATTTACCTTGAGGTTGCTCAGCTCCACCTAATAATAAAAGATAAATAAATAAAAAGGCACAAATTAACATCCAGCATAGAAGAAATACTGCTCAAGAAATGTAGATTGCTAATTTACTTTACTAAAAAAGTCAACTAAATGTATATAAACATTCATAATAAATTAAATACCACTTTGATCATCAGAAGAAGGGGCTCCTCCTCGCCCTTAAAAAAAAAAAAAAAAAAAAAACTGTTAGATTTAGTCTAAAACAGCACTAGACTTTCAGTAAAATAGGATATAAAGTCTAGCTAACTGAATATAATTACATTAAAGCTATTTAAGTCATACAAAGCCATACAGTACACTCCAACGAATTATGTAAAATAAAATACTGAATCAGTTGTGCTTTTCCTACACAGTCAGAAATAAAAGGTACACTTTTGTACTGTAAGGGTGATAAATAGTCCTTTAGGGTACACTTTTGTACCTTTAAGAATCTGTTAGGAACAAAAAATGTACCCTTTGAAAGGGTACTGCCACAGTAAGCTTTGTACTTTTATTTCTGAGAGTGTACATAAAAAAAACAAGTAATAATATATAAAACGAAGAGTTTAGATGCAAAACACCCTAAATCCATCAGACCTCTTTTCTTGTAAAAGAGCATTTTTTATCAAGCTCCTATAACTAGGTTCAGATGTCCTTTTATATGTAATAATAATATTATTAGCTAGTAAATAAGATACCATTTTTCATAAGACACATTGTATTATAAAAGTTAAAAATATATAAATTTGTCAAGTAAGTAGCGGTTCATTCCACTGTGATAACCCCTGATAAACTATAGAAAAAGCAGAAGAAAAATTTATGAATTAAGTTAGTCAAGTAAGACATTAATTAAATCTTAACAATCTGTTGTCATGTCTGATATTTGGGATTTAGATTTAATGTAAGTAGAATAATGTAAACATTGAAAACATTGTAAACATTGTAAGCTAAGCTTGGTAGATTCAAATAATGTAGTGTAAAAACATTATGATACATCAATATCTGTGCATTTTCCATTAATATTAAAGACTTAAAAGGCCCGGCCCGAAAAAAAAAGGCTGGCCCGATTGGAAGAGGTTTGCCTGAGCGCAGTTCACTTGGGCTTTGAGACGTGACTTTTAAGGGACTGTTTGATATGTGTTTATTAGTCATTCTTACAGTTCAATGGCCGCAAATTGTCATAGATTATTAAAGACGCAAACCCCTCACTCCATGACAGCTGCGCACCTACAGCAAACCTCGTAATTCCTGCAACACTTTATGATTTTTTGAGTGTCAAAAGTGGCTGATCTGTTCGGCAAAATATCTGACTGTGTGTCTCCGCATCCCAAACAACTAAACGATATAACCATAGACTGTAAAATAAAGGATATAACTAAAGAAATGTCCACTGTGCTGAGCGAAAGCGCTTCTCTACTGAACAGCGAATCATCGATGATGTAAGCGTGCTCAGGCCCGATTGTAATGTGAGTGCGGGCCGTCAGGGGAGACAGGAGTCCAATATTGTTTTGGCCCAGTTCGAGGCAACTGTAGTAGTGTGAGTACGCCCTAAAACACAAAGTGGGCCTACTGGGCAAAAAGGGGATGCTTCTCAGACAATTTTAGAAGCTGTCATTCATTCATTCTCCCCATACTTTAAAAGGTCACGAAACACCAAAACACATTTTTTGAGATGTTGACAGTCGTACATGTATCCCACACTGCTAAAAACACTATTAGGACACATATATTTCACAAAAAAGTAAAAATGTGTTGTTTTTGCTTTATTTTGAGCAAATTCGTAACTTCCGGTTTAAAACAAATTTTCAACGCTGTGTCATGGCCATGAGATCTTAGCGTGTATTCCAGCGTGTAGACTGGACGTCTGTACCTGGGAATACCGTATTACGTCTCTGTGTGTGTTGGATTCATTCATGAGTATGACTTGGTTCAAACCAATTAGCGCGCACTAATGTGTATGCTGTGCAACTTCATTAATGCATGACAGCTTTGACGACAGTTTTACCTGTCATAGTGTTCAGACGGCAGAGAGACACCACGTTGTGTTGCCAAAACAAACGGAAGAAGAAGAATTGTTTGGAGATACGGGTCGTTAGTGTTGCTTTTATAATGTGCTGCAGTGAAGGTTTTGTTTTTATTTTCCCTCTATGAGAGCGCAGCTGAACTCACGTGTGAATCAGTGCACGCGATACGTGTCAGAAATACGTTTGTTCGGAACATTTTTTACTGTAGAGCAGGGATTCCCAAACTTTTTTTTTTGGGACCCACCTAGGCAAGTAATTCAATCTCAAGACCACCATAATATTTTATTATGAAAAAATGGGTAAAAAAATGTATCCATTCAAAGCAGTCAAAAATATATGGTGTGCGGCTTTTTGGATTTTGCGATTCGATATGCACATAATGAGGCTCGAAGTGCTTTTTGTGGGATGCTGGCTGTAACTGATATTTTTTTGTTGTTGAAAAAGATACTCTTTTTTTTTTCAGAAGAGAATATGATCAACCTTTGATCAAGCCACTGGATTATGATCAAGCCCCGTCACATCGCAGTAAATTCCACTTCTAGTGTATAGTCATAAGAAACTAAATAGCTTTTTGATCGGCTACTACAAGCTGGGAAAACGTCAGATAAATATGCCAATGCAATTAACATTATTGCTCAATTGATCTAATATTTACACTTTTGCTTGAGGATGGAATGATGGGGGTAGATACATTACTATTACTATTTTCCATAAGATCTATGCCCTTCCACAACATTAGGTGACGTTAAAACTAACAGATAGCACTATAGCTATTTATTGATTAGCAATCTGTCAACGTTGGAATGTAAAAAATATTGGACAACAAATAGCTTCAAATGATAGAATACATAGCAAACATTAAAAAATATTGACAATAAAACAAATGGTTTAGCCTATTAAAATCAATGGCCTATCCAGAAATTAAATAAAGCTATAAAATCTATTTCACTTTTGATTGTATTTGCATATTGATTAAAGTTACTATAGTTATTTAGTGAAGAGCAGCAAATGAATATCTCATTGTGTTTTGTTTGATAACAGAGGTGTTAATGTAAGAATGCACAGATCTATAATGAAGCATTCAACTACTTTAGTAACTGTTTGTGTTCATTTAAGAGAAAATTAGTTGTGTTTAAAACAAAACATGCAGGACGGAGCTAAAAAAAAAAAAAAACGAAAAAATAAACACTTTTCCGCCGATCCCTTACTGAAAGCACCACTCTGGGCGACCTCTACCAGCTAAACGCAGATTGTGAGAGCTCAAACAGAGCAGTGCTCGTAATGTCTAGTGAAAAAAAAGAAAAACACAGCTATGAAACATATCCAGCTTTGTCTTTTGTAGGAAACACTTTAGATATTTTTAGGGTAGGAGGTTTTTGAGTTATTGCCGTCAATCGTACTGGTTTTGATTAAAAGCAATGTAAATATAGCTGCAACTATGTGACTTTACGCGACCCAACTTTGTTGACTGTGCGACCCACAGTTTGAAAACCCCTGCTCTAGAGCTTTTCGCATCTGGAAATTGTAAAAATCCAGATTTGCTGCTCGTCTCCTTTTAAAAATGACGTGGCTCCAGTTTGTGTTAATAGTCCTGTCTCTACAGATTTGGTAAGTGTGTGTGATCGGTGCCCTTTTGTTGGCCCCCTTTTACACTAGTGCGTTTTAGTTTTAAAACGGCGTTCTAGAATGAAAACGATTCGCGTCCACACTAGCGTTTCACCCAGTGTTTCTTAACAGCTCTCCGTCCACACCAAAACGCTGAAAACGCATATCACGTGACCACACACACACTCTTGGGCAAGCGCTGCAGCTTATCTACCCAGATGAGAGCTCTGCTCGTCTGACTGCCAGGCACGTGCACACATAGGGCTCAACCTGTGCAGTGCACATGCCCTTTTTAGTCTTGGATAGAAAGTGCCCTTCCAAAATGATCAAAAGTGCCCCCTCGATGCGACACACCCTTCGTCCTGCCCTTCAGTAAGTGCGCGACAACACCGTTCTTGAGTACGCGCACGACAACACCGCTCTTCAGTTCGTGTGCGACAACACCGATTTTCAGTACGCGCACGACAACACCGCTCTTCAGTTCGTGTGCGACAACACTGCTTTTCAGTACGCGCACGACAACACCGCTCTTCAGTACGCGCGCCACAACACCGCTCTTCAGTACGTAACATGTTTTGGCTAAGCACAAAGACAGGTTAATAATTAATGTAACCAAGTAGCCTACATTCTGTATATTGACAGATCGCTTGCCTTTATTTCCTATAATGTATAAACTTATTGTATGTTATACTTTTATAATGGCCATAATCGATTATTAAAACTGATCTTCAGTAAAAGAGAGGGTATGTTTTGTATTTTCACTGAAATTGAAAGGAGGCAGTTGTTATCGGCTCCGTTTTGTTATAAATATCCACACCGTGAAGATGATGCTCACAAATGCAGCACAACGACTCAACATTTCTGCTGTCTGTTAAGTTGCTAATATCAAAATGAAAATAGGCAGTTCCTTAAATCATGTTTTCATTTTATTTTTTTAAGAAGGTGAAACAACGTAGCCCGGGTGATTTGAATGAAGTTGTAAAGTACACTGTTACCTTTGAAGATTTACCCGTGTCCCCATTAGTCTGTTTTCCATATCCAACTGTACTCTTTCAGTGTTTAAAGACAGACCTTAGTCAAAAAGATTTCTAAGTTACTTAGTTTACGTTAATATCACTACAATATTATGGACTGAAAGATCTGCTGTAAACGCTGCTCTCCGAGTGTAAATGTGAACACTGCAAGCAAACCATTACCGACCGTCGTGTTTAATTTTTGCCACATTTTGTGACAGGAATGACACACACGGCTTTCTGCCCTACCAAGTGCATCTGAGTTACCGAGAAATGCAGAGGATTTTTTTCTCTTATACGACGTGCGGTATCAAACATTTCACCGTCATTAAACACAATCACTGTCTTTCTTCTCCGCGTCTGTGTTTGTTTTGCCTCGGTGAAAATCAGCATGTGCCCAAATGGAAACTCCCATTTTTATTCAAATCCATTTTTATTCAAATCCTTCCCCTTCCCCTTTCCCTTTAAGAGCCAGTTGCGTCACGCCATAAGTGCATTTGCTATTTACATGACAACTTTGTAAGTGGAAAAACTAAGCGTTTCGCTAGCAACAAAACAGTTAAACAGAGCATCTACAGCACGAGAATGAGAGTTAAATTATTAACTTTCACTTTCGCTTTCGTGGATAGGGAAACCTTGTACGCACAGACATCGATTAGCCTATGAATAATTAATTTAGTTTGTTTAGCTCAAAGATTTGTTTCAAAACTATTTCTAAATTCAGTTAAAATTTCCAGCAAACGAATAAATGATCAATAATATCGAAGTGTGTTCTAAAACCTGAGTTATATCCAAATACACATGCTGTGCCCCATATGGTCTGAAACCTGACAGGTGGGCAAATCTAAGCTTGTTTTTAATAAAACAAATATAAATATGGATATAATAAATAATACTGCTAATAATGATAGCATTTAAAAAAAAAATTGTCATGAATAAACTGAAAAAGCCCCTCGAGATTTAGAAGGCATGAAGGCAGGGGTTTTTATATTTTTGTCGGCTAGAAAATAATGTTTTGCAAAATTTTAATAATTTAAAATTATATCCTATATATATATATCCTTAATATTTTAATTATTTTTCATATGAAAAGATATTTGCGTATTGCTCCACATCTTGTGTGTATAAAGCAGTGTGTAGGCGAGGCGCACAACTAACGCGCTCTGCACTGGACAATAAACCAGCTTTGTTTTGGTCTATTGAAAAATCTATTATAGTTTCTCAAAATAGCAATGCGCCAGCAATGCGCCTCAGAACGCCTTCCTTTTTAGACCAGAACACCCATGGGCGCACATATGAGCGCAAATGCATTTGCTATTTAAACAGTGTTGTGCAAAACGTCAAAATGACTCTTGTGCCAAAGTGAAACTAGCAAACAATTGCGTCGCGCCTTGCACCACATTGCGTGGGGTGTATAATAGAGCCCTTGGTCTCTTGTTTATCCTCATAGAATCCATGTCTTTCATGAAACGCAGTTGCCGTTTTATGTATAGTAAATCGGACTCATTCAAAGTAGCGTCACACAAAAAAATGTTATGAATGCATGTTACACTTCCGACTGTACATTGTGTTTTCTTTTTCTTATAATGCAGTAGTAATGAGGGCGGTATGGTACAATAAATAAATCAATCAAACCTCTACTGCCGCCTCCATCGGGTTTATATCCACCTCGCTCACTGACATCAATAAGATCATTGTCATCAAAAGATCTACCACCTTAATGAAAAAATAAGAGCAATAAAATTTCAGAGGACAAGCAGTGTAGTACACAAACAAAAAAAGTAAATTTAGTGATTCTCCTGTTTCAATGACTTTTACATTAAAGCTCAAAATGTTCATTTAGCAAAATGAAATGTGATGAGCTTTTAAATTATTACCTTGTGTTTTCAAATAACCATAAACTAAATTTAAAAATCACAAAACTGTTTGTTTATTTATAGTAAGTTTTAGTGAGATTTACACAAGAAATGTTTAATGGAGCATCTAGGATAAATATCCTGTAAAATGATTGCTGAAAAAAAATCTGTATCACTATTATCACCTATTATTAGTCTGGTTTTTACTTTGTGCAAGCTTGTCATATATTTTGTCTAGACCTGCATAACAGTGTTTTAGTATCGTGTTTCTGATTTAAGTTTGATTTGAAGGGATATTTCAAAATCACAAACATGAAAAAGTATTCATTATTTACTCTCCACTAAGTGGTTCCAAATCTTTACGTTTCTTTATTGTGTTGAACTAGTTATGTCAATGATTACAGGTTTCCAGCTTTCTAAAAAATAACTTCATTTACGTTCAATAGAAGAAGAAAAATGGGTTAGAAACAAGTGAAGAGTGGGTAAATGATGACAGAACTTAGTTATGGTTTAACAAAGGAAGGAAACACTTTTTCACAAAGGGCTATGTGGTTTTGAATTTATTTTCATTTAATAATAAAAGTCTTCATTTAAAAATTTATTTGTTTGATGATTTGAAACAATTAAGTGGGATAAACAGTGTGATAAACATTCAAAAAATAATAAATCAGTCAGGGGGCAAATACTTTTTCACATTACTGTATATGTAAAGTGATTGGTTACAGAAATTAAACTGCAATTCCCGACAACTTGTCTCAGCAATTCAGAAAACATTCTTTTTGAAACAATAATGTTAATCATGCACTTATATCTTAATAAAACAAAGTAAACTTAATTATTATTTTTTTTTAAACTATAGACATCTACATTGCACATTGTGTAAAAGATAAAACTGGGGCATGTTAAGGTAATATCAGAATGATCAATCATGCAGCTTAATGCTTATCCATTTAATTTAAATTATACACATTATATTCTGACTTAAAAGTGTATTTATTTTAAATTTAAAAGTGCAATAAGGAATATTTTTAGAAAAAAAAAAAAACTTTTGGGGCATCGAGTCTTCTTGCAGCCAACTAGCAGTAAAATGTGTGTCTTTTTAACAAGAGATGAGAGATCAAAGTGTGACATGTTGTTTATTTTGGTGTTTTAAAGTAGCAATAGTACCAGCATACCAGTTTCTCTTTCTTTAGGTGGGACCATAGGTTTTTTGGTCTCTGTATCTGTAGAAATAGACAAATAAAATAAATAAACTCGTTCAAAATGGCATGATTTGTTACCTTAAAATTATTAGATTGATAGTAGCTGTAAAAGATAGTAAGAAAAAAAAATTATCAATTGGCAATAGCCATAAATAGTAACAGAACAGCCGGTAAGTTAGGGCTTAATACATAAATATTTAATAAATCCTATTTATGTCCAATATTTATTTATTTATTTTTTAATAAACAGTTCACAAATAAAAAAAAAAACCTAAGAAAATAAAAGAAGAAATTATGTTTTAAATAGTAGGTAAGCGAGTAAATTATGACATTTCTTTTACTTGATTAATCTGACTGTACAAAAAAAAAACCTACACTAATTTAGGCAAACAATTGACTAATATATGAAATAAATGATATTGCTTGGATGGATGGATGGATGGATGGATGGATGGATGGATGGATGGATGGATGGATGGATGGATGGATGGGTGGGTGGGTGGATGGGTGGGTGAGTGGGTGGGTGGGTGTATGGATGGATGGATGGATGGATGGATGGATTTTTCTTACCTGGACCAAACGCATCAGATAGATCCAGCTCACCTGAAAAAATGCAAACTGAATTAGTCTTATTACTTAAAAATATAATTATAAAACTAAAATTCAAAGATTTATAAAACACAATTTACTTTTCACATTTGTATTTTTATATTTAACAGTTATACATATATATTTCTTATATGTCTTTTGCTAAACATGCATACTAGTTAAGTCATATAAAAATGAAACAGAATTGTTTTTTTAAAAAACGGCTTTTTAGCATGAGTCATATTGTACACCCAGACATTTGACATTTGTCCAGTCCCTCAAATACAAAAAAAAGCATTAATAATTAAATATGACTATATTGTCAGGTTATTGATTTGCATGTTCACTGGTGAAACAGGTTGCTTTATTAAACATATTTTTAATACTTGCATGTAAATGATACTGTATTTATGCAAGTTTTACCTCCAGATGCTGGTTTCTTTTTATCTGCAAATATATAAAAAGGAATACATAAAGTTGACAAATGCACTCATTTACCAAGACAAACCGTATCGAATTAGCAAATTAAATGAGTTCCCTAAACATTCCCAACAAAATGCAATATAGATATATTGAGCAAACATGACTACATAAACCCTATTTTAAGCACACTGCATGTACATTATACCAGTAAATTATGCAACAACTTGCAATTAAACCTACTTCACATCAGAATCACCTTACACTACATGAAATAAACTGTAAACGGCAAACTGTCTCCAAAAGTAAACTCCTACATGCTTAAAAACATAAAAAAAATAAATGAATAAATAAACAAACATAAATTCATATTTTTTTACCATCCACTGATTTTGGGGGAACAACAGCAGGTTTTTTGGGGTCTGTGTACAGTAAACAATGAAGATAAAACAAAAAGGTCATTATCATTATAAAGTTATAAAGTTAAATTGAAGGTATAAGCAGCTGAAAATTACATTCTGCAAGTTTTGGAACTCTAGCGAGTAGAAAAAAAAATTATATATAGCTCTATGCTTCATATGGAAGAACACTTTAGATGCAGCTACGTATGATATTTTGAGCCTTTCAAAGTCCACTGGGTCTTACCTGATTCAAAAGCATCTGATAAATCAAATCCTACAAAAGTATAATAAAGGTGAAACAATAAAATGGCACTCTACATATATTCACATGAACCTAACAAAGTCAAAACAATAAAATATAAGTGAAAATGAGGGGAACCATATTAAATATTTTAAATAAAGATTACCTGGATCTGCATTTTTGGGTGGGGGTGGTTTCTCTTTTGGCTTCTCTGTGGCTAAAGTGCATAACAATATGATTTTTTTATATACAAAAACTGCACACAAACAAGTATGACACTACTTTATATATTTTACATATTTTAATGAATCAAAATTTTAAATCTACATCAAATTGTAGAACATCAACATAAAAATGACCAATGGAATAAATACAGAGAACTATCTACTTACGGATCTCATCATCATCATCACCAAAGGCATCGCTTAGGTCCAATTCTGCAAGAAAACCATTACTTTAATATTCTGTTCAAAGAAACTCAAGCTTAAATTGAATCTAATTTATTTTCTGAAACATCCATATCGAGAAAATTGGCCAATACAAACTTCCATTTTTTAACCAATCAGAGCACCAATCAGTAAAGGATTCATTCAGCCAAATAAGCAAAACTTATTTATTAATTTAATTGCAAACAACCAAATTATGAAAGTATACATCAGCAGCATTAGACTTTAACACTCTAAATATACATAATAAACATAGAAATAAACGACCCATACATGCCAAGTTAAATTTACTAGCTAACTACATTCAGAACTTGTTTGTTAGCATGTAAATCATTACATTTGATAAGAATGAATCAAATTAGTCAGCTCTAAACTGACTGCAGTTTACATGTGACTAACTTACAGTACTGGAGGCATATCGATTCAAATGTCTAAATAATTGTTCTCTCAAAGCAACTTCTAAAAATAAATTGCAAAAATGTCCTTTCCTTAAAGAGACAGTTCATCAAAAAAAAAAAAAAAAAAAAACACTTTAGGGTCACAATTTACAGTATTAACAAACTATTAATTACCACTACTGGCTTAATTAACTATCAATTACTGTTAAAAAAATTTATTTCTTTTAATGTTTTATCTTTAACAAAGATAATTCAGCACTCTAAACTTTTAACAAAGCTGGCTTGTCTTAACCAAACATTGGGTTAGTTTTTTGTTTTTTGTTTTCTTTTAAATTTAAGTTACATTTTTTACCACAGTGGTTGGGTTTGTTTATATTTGACCTAATTTAGGATCACAACCACTTAGTATTTTTAGAGTATGCAGCAAAATATTGTCATTCATAAGCCTGCAAAAAACATTCAAAGCATCTTCATAAATATTAAAAAAACATAACAGAACACATATAATATCTGATGTCAGATATTATGTGTTTTGTTATGCTTTTTAATAATTAATTTAATAACTTTTATTATCATGTATGCCAGTGTTTCTCTACCACGTTTCTATGGGACCACCAGCAGTCTATGTTTGGATGTCTCCTTTGTCTGTCACACCGATTACAGGTCTTTCAGTCTCTGCTACTAAGCTGATGATCTAAATCAGGTGTGTTTAGTTAAGAAGACATGGAAAATGTGCAGAGCTGGTGGACCACCAGGAACATGGTTGAGAAACATTGATTTATGCAATATTGCATAATGTAAGACTTTCGGTATTTAACGTTTAAAAAGCCTCATAAAGACGTGTATCTTTAGCTGTTTATTAATAATTGTTGGTAAGGTATAAGTTGTGTTTAAACTTTGGGAAGAATTAGCTATGCAGAATAAGATCATACTTTATACTATTACTACCTACTATTTATATTATTTTATTATTATTATTTTAACTAGTGGTTAAATGTGTGAATTGTGACCTAAACTAAAGTGTTAACTTTTCAATCAATCCAAACTCAGCATTCCTGGAGAAATCATAGTAGGACAAAAAAAATGTGTTCTGTTGAACACAAAAGGGGATATACTGAAGAATATTTGAAAGCATGAACCATTCAGTTTTGTACTGTTTTCTTACTCTATTGTGAACATTTCCAACAGTTTCCAATATTCTTTAATACATGTTCAAAAAAAAAAAAAAAAAAACCCAAACAGGTTTGGAACGGGACAAGGGTGAGTAAATGAAAACTATTTTAATTTAGGTGAACTATTCCTTTAAATATTTTTTTTTCTCTCAAAAAAAAGAGAAAAAAAAAGCACTTGTGAATGTTTGTGAGAGGGAAGGAAAGAGAATTCCTAAAGGGTAAAAGTCTTGACTGGGCTAAATGATTGGAATTTGACAGTTCACTTTCACATAATAACCCCACCCATCTATACACTGTGTGCATCTATTGTGTATGCTGTATTCACATTGAACAACAACATTTAAGATGACAGTTAATAAATCTAGACATAAAACCAAATTATTGTTATAATTTTTCATGTATATGACACACATTATGGTGAGCATGCAACTGCGTGCCTGCCACACGAAACTGCCTGATAGGGCAACATCCTGTGGCTTACGTTGCCAGAGCAATGTGGACTGCTTTCATTTCTGCTCTGTGCACGAATGTGGCGGATGGTTATATCAGAACTGTAACCAGGGCAATCTGTCTATTCAGAAGTTTATGCCATTGACTTACATCAAATGCATTTTCAAAAGAACTACATTTAAGTTTGGGAAATGTGAAAATTCAGGGAAACTTAAAAACAATAAAAAGACTAATTTGGGAGTGTATAAACGGTATATTTGCATTGCCATGCTTATTTCACAGTGTAGAAAGTTTCACCACAAATGTAGCACTGACTATTAAACAAGTCAAGAGGAACTGATCTCAGATCATGGCAAACCAAAACAATGCTTTATACTATACAAAGAGTGTGTCGATGATAGTTTATTTCAATGTCCAATGTAGGAACAGTGCCACAGGAAGTATGGGTCAACATCATGGGATCAAGTATATTTAGTACGCTGTGTTCAAGGCAACTAGATTGCTAAAAATGGAGTCCAGGGCACATTTTGCTATGAATGAAAATGTGTATTTCTGTGACCTTAAAAGTATAATTGAAGATGTTATGCATTACTTTTCAGGACACTAAAAATTGTGATTCCTTTTTTATGTTTTATTATTTACCAAAATGAATTAGCACTATAAACTCTTTAAAAAGCTGGCTTGTCGTAAAACAACATTGGGTTCTTTTTTCCGATTAAGTTTAAGTTACATTTTTAACACAATTGTTGGGTTTGTTTATACTTGACCCAATGTAGGATTACAACAACCCACCATTTTTAGAGTATGCAGCAAAAATATTGTCATTCAGAAGCTTGCAAAAAGCTTTCAAAGCATCTTCAGAAGAAATAAATGCGTAACACAACCCATATAATATATGATATCAGATATTGTATGTGTTGTGTTATGTTTTTTTAATAATCCATTTTTATATTACTATTCATGCAATATTGTATAATGTAATGTTTTAAAAGCCACATTAGGAAGTGTTTTGCTTATGATTTTGGTTACAGCTGGAGAACCAAAGTATATAAAATATTAACGTTAACACAGGTTTTCACCGTTTACAGCTACTGAATAATCATTTAAAGTTGTTAAAATCCAATTAAATAAACTGAATTGGGGGAAATCAGCATCTACTTCTGTAGCATGGATTTATATGTCATAACCTTTAGTCATACATTTAAAAACAGTATGTTACCAATATCGACTTACAAAAAGAAACATTAGCTTTGTGCTAAAAGTCCTCCTGCCATTCTTCCCAAGGGTTGGTGAGTCATGCAGTTTGTATGTGGAAAAATCACATTTCGTGTCAAGCCAACGTACCAAGGTCTTGGGTAACTCAAATCAACCTCTTTGTTCACCAGGGCAAAAAACTGCGCTAGTAGGCAACTGTGACTAATTTCCACATAAAAGCGACATAAACCAGCGACGTATAGAAGAACTGTCAAAAATCAGCTTCTTCTGTTACAGTTGTGATATTTTGGGAACAAGCGGTCCCAGTACGCAAACTGTTACAAGCGCTGTTACCAAAACAAAACGACAACACAAACGTTTAGACTGGAAACCATACCTTGCGCTTTGGTTGCTGCGAGACCTGCCAGCAGAAGTAAAATCCACGTGTATGAATTCATCATGCTGTAGAAAAGTATTAAATATTGTTTGTGTTTTTTGAGAGCTTTGAAACGCGCTAAAATTAGAAATTCTGGTAAGGAAAGTTCAGCAGTAAGATTTACTCACCCCTTTGAGTGACCCAAGCGAGCTCCAATTGCTATTCAGCAGTTCAGCGCTTTGCGTAGTTTAATTACAGATGATGTGCAGGAAAAAGAGTGTCCTCGCCACGCCCTACCTGCGCTCTTTTGGAGAGGGCGTGTGCTTGAAAAGAATTTAGAGTGTGCTGTTTCTTGTTCAAAGCAGATGATCTAAAGAACAATCTTTTTTATTTATTTATTTTTTTTACTTCTTATTGTAAAGTTGTACGTTTATGTTCGATTTATTTATTTATTTATTTATTTTTTTTATGTTTGTTCTTGTTTTAAGCATATACACTTTGATGACAACGTTGACCAAGAAAATTTGTTGTTTAACGAGACCAGATGATAGGTGGCGACAGACTCTAATAAAAAAGGTGAACTTGACAACCAGTAGACATGATCTTTAAACTTTTGGAACATATTCATTCATTCATTCATTCATTCATTCATTCATTCATTCATTCATTCATTCATGTGTGTATTTATTTTATTTTATTTTTGTTATTTATTTTACAACATGTATGTATAATTTTTCATTCATTCATTTATCAATGTGTGTATTTTTTATCTGTTATTGTTTATTTATTTTACAACATGTTTATTACAACATGTTATTATTATTTACTCATTCATGTTTGTATTTGTTTTGTTAATAATGTTGTTTATTTATTTAACATGTTTGTATAATTATGCATTCATTGATTCATTTATCCATGTGTATATTTATTTGTTTTTTGTTGTTTATTGATTTCACAACATGTTTGTATAATTATGCATTAATTCATTAATTCATTCGTGTGTATTTATTTTTTTGTTCTTGTTTATTTATTTACAACATGTTTGTATATTCATTCATTCATTCATTCATTCATTCATTCATTCATTCATTCATTCATTCATTCATCCATGTCTATATTTATTTGTTTTTTGTTCTTGTTATTTATTTACAACATGTTTGTATAATCATTCATTCATTTTCTTATCGGCTTAGTTTAGTTCCTTTATTAATCCGGAGTCACCACAGAGGAATGAACCGTCAACTTATCCAGCAACTTTTTATGCAGCAGATGCACATCTAGCCGCAACCCATCTCTGTGAAACATCCACACAAAAATTTACACACACACTCGTACACTACGGACAATTTAGCCTACCCAATTCACCTGTATCACATGTCTTTGGACTGTGGGGGAAAACAGAGCACCCAGAGAAAATCCACGCAAACGCAGGGAGAACATGCAAACTCCACACAGAAACGCCAGCCAAGCCGAGGCTCGAACCAGCGACCCAGCAATCTTCTTGCTGTGAAGGGACAGCACTACAGCACTACCTACTGCGCCACTGCTTCTACCTCATTCATTCATCCATTTATATATTTATTTGTTTTTTATTATTGTTTATTTATTTTACAACATGTTTGTATAATTATTCATTTATTAATTAATTCCTGTGTATATTCATTTTTTGTTATTTATTTTACAACTTTCTTGTATAGTTATTGATTGATTCATTCATTAATTCATTCATTAATTCATTCATTCATGTGTGTATTCATTTTTGTTGTTGTTTATTTATTTTACAAAATGTTTATATAATTATTAATTTATTCATACATACATTAATTCATCCTGTGTGTGTTTATTTTTGTTTTTTGTGTATTTATTTTACAACATGCTTGTATACTTATTCATTTATTCATTTATGTGTGTATTCATTTTTTTCATTAATTTATTTATACATTTATGTGTGTATTTTTTGTTGTTGTTTGTTTATTTTTCAAAATGTTTGTATAATTATTAATTCATTAATTAATTCATTTATTAATTCATTCATACGTACATTAATTAATTCATGTGTGTTTTTATTTTTGTTATTGTTTATTTATTTTACAACATGTTTATATAATTATGCATTGGTTCGTTCATTCCTGTATTTATTAGTTTATTTTTCAACATGTTTGTATAATTATGCATGCATCCATGTTATGCATTTATGTTTTTATTCATTCAACATTCATTTATTTGCATCACAAGGGAACGGTTTGGGAAGTTTATTTATTTTTATTTTGTGTGTGTGTGTGTGTGTGTGTGTGTGTGTGTGTGTGTGTGTGTGTGTGTGTGTGTGTGTGTGTGTGTGTGTGTGTGTGTGTGTGTGTGTTGTTTTTGTTGTTGTGACTTTTACGTTGGCTACTTGTGTGTCTAGACAAATATGTATTTATTTATTTAAAAATAATAACTGGACCCGCACTGGCCTCTGGGGGATTTTATATAATTTATTTTCTAAAGATTTAACAAATAATAAGAAAATTGATCACTGATGTTTGTTAATCACCTGGCCAAGTTTAGATTGGAAACTTTTATGTATGTATGTATGTATGTATGGATGGATGGATGGATGGATGGATGGATATATTTATTCATTCATTCATTCATTTTCTTGTCGGCTTAGTCCCTTTATTAAACCGGGGTTGCCTCAGCGGAATGAATCACCAACTTATCCAGCAAGTTTTTACACAGCGGATGCCCTTCCAGCCGCAACCCATCTCTGGGAAACATCCACACACACATTCAATCATACACTACGGACAATTTAGCCAACCCAATTCACCTGTACCGCATGTCTTTGGACTGTGGGGGAAACCGGAGCACCCGGAGGAAACCCACGCGAAGGCAAGGAGAACATGCAAACTCCAAACAAGAAACGCCAACTGAGCCAAGATTCGAACCAGCGACCTTCTTGCTGTGAGGCGACAGCACTACCTACTGCACCACTGCCTCACCGTATATATTTATTTATGTATTCATTTATTCATTCATTCAAACATTTATTTAGAACAACATCAACATTAGCACCACAAAAAAACATTTATTTTTGCATTTATTAATGTGTTTGTTTGTTTGTTTGTTTAATTATTGTGTTTGTTTGTTGCTAATGTTCTTCATTTCCTATTATTTCCTCCATATGCTGTATTATTACTTTACAACTTCATTCATTTATTTACATATTTATTTAGCCAGTTAAAAAATAGTCCAACATGCTTTTGCCTCTGTTTGGGATGTTTTTGTCTCTATTATTGTAATTAATTTTTTTTATTATTATTTTTATGGGAGATGCATATGCCCTTCTTTGCATTGGTTTAGCTGTGGTCTAGTACAGCACGTTAAAATAACCATCACTATACAAAATAGACTGTTTTATTGCGGCATCTAGTGTTAAATGAACGCATTGCAACAGTAGAATAGTGCATGCGGCTTTCAGGCCATAGCATAATAATTTACATACTTGTTTTAAAGCCCTCTAAAAATCATCAACGTCAAATACACATTGACCAACGTAACTGGGATTAAGGTTTGAACAAAACGTTGGTCATGGCAATTTGTCAACGGCTTGGTTGACAATAGGCTACAACTCAAGGACACCTCATTTGTAGGGCAAAAAGCAAAATTTAAGAGTATCTGCTCATTTAAGATCCTAAGATTTGTTAGTAGTAAAAAAATAATAATAATAAAAAAACGTTTTACAAAGAAATCTAAAAGATTTAAAGAAATCATGGCTCTTTTCCTATCTTTAGACTATTTTGGTAAGTTATTTATAAATAAGTATTATTATTATCAATTAACACGAGCATCCTTTATTTAACATTTTCTTGAACATATTTGAGCCAGCAGCATATTGGATGATGATGGGTATCCTGAAGGGACCTCAGAGTAGCGTGCCCCCTTGCGCAAACGGTGTGAGAGATCACCAATGGATGAGGCAGCGCTCTTTCGCGTGTCATGTTTTTGAAGAGCCCACGCGTTTCACTCTAGGTTCCCTATTCGGCACGCACCAATGCAGATACGGACCGGATCGGACGCTGGTGGCGCCTGAACGCATATCCATCTTCATTGCGCTCACGGGTGTCTGCGTTTTCTCCAGCTCGTGCAGTATCATGCAGTCTTTAATATCCCCAGTCACCAAAGCAATACTGGTTGCACTGTTTATTTTTGCGATTCTGCTCATTTTGTACGTGATATTATGGTATATATGTCGAGATGTGGATTGTGATCACGGAATTTGATTGACAAATTACTGGAAGCGTCTTTAAGGACATGCACCGGGTGTCCCAGCATTGGCACTGATCAACAAGGGAGCAAAGGTTCACTCTGGTAAGTCTTTGACCTGTATAACTCCTGAGAATAGAGAGTGGACAGGATTCATTCGGTATTATTTTAATCTTCCGGCATTGATTTTGGTGTCCTTTTGCACTAACGTGTTGCGCTCCGCTGGCTGTCGGTAACCACCGCAGAAGACTTGCTTTCATTCCACCTGTTAATGTGGACGAAAACTAAATCCTTTGCTAATTTGTTTGGCTTTTAAACTCATTTGAAATAATAAACTCGAGAAGGAGCCACAACAGCTTATTCCATCACATATTTCAAATAACATCAACGGGATCAGCTGCCATATGATTTTTTTATTTATTTTTTTTACATGTAATTTTTTATTTAATTACATTTTAGGGGGAAAGTTGGTTAATATGCAAAGGACCGTGTATCACCTTTCATTAATTTAGTTCTTTCAACTGATCATATACATCTGCGCTATGAACGTATAAAAGTTGACAGGTACGATACCAATGCCTCACATTTGTTTGTAAGTATGACATCTGCTGAGGGCTATCTGCTTGTGTTGTGGACAGTAAATGAATATATTTTAATTTATCGTAGTATTCAGATACACGAAAGCAAATATTTTAAAACCAGCTGATTGCACTGAAAGTTCATGAAAACCTATGGCAAGCCAATTTAACATTCATTTTTTAAATAAAAAAAAGTGAAAATGAAAGATGGTAAATTTAATGTGAATACAATTTAGAGTTATTCTATTTATAAATTTGCTTCTATATTTACTGTTGATAATTTGACCGCTGTAACTACATAAAATATTACTTGACGACTGCTGTTCTTTCCATAGCATACCAAAGCTTAGCATAAGTTCAGGAAACAAAAAAATCCTCCATAGGCTACATCATATTTTATGTGATATTAATTTGAACAGCTACATAATAGGGGTAGATATTAGAATTTGGTAAGCAAATAGATATTAGGGCTTAATGAATGAATTATTACCAGCTTCTGGTCTTTTAGAAGATTGAACCTTCTTTTCTTCAAGAATAAAATAGTTTTTGTACCTTTAATATGTTTCCAAATGCTGTAAATTTATCATGATGAAAAGCTTTCTGCTCGGGTTGTTCATTACAATAAACACAGCTATCGCTTGTTCTATTTTTATTTATTGGGATTTTAAAATAGCCAGCTGTTAAATAGCCAGCAGGTGGGGCTGTTGTGAGGTGGCATGTTTCAGCCATTGAATGGTCATCATTAATCAGAGGAGCAGAAAATTATATACATGGCCAGAGTAAGCTGTGTGCTCTAGGCAAAGGACAATCGTGCCGCCCTCACCCCGAAAGTGAAAAAGAAAGTGACTGGTTCGTGAACTGAAGACAAGATGGGGGGTGGGGGGGGGGGGGGTCGCGGATAAAAGTGAGGAGGTCACTTCTATGAAATATTCATAAAAGCATAGTTCACCCTAAAATGAAAATTGACAAACTATTTGCTTTTCCTCAAGTGGTTCCAAACCTTTTATAAGTATCTTTATTCAGTTGAACACAAAAGAAGATTATTTTGAACAAAGCTAAAAACCTGTAACCATCAACTTCCAAAGGACAAACACCACCAACCTGATATCACCGAGTAGGACATGTTCCTGAATTAACATCTGTGTTGATCCTAGAATAACATTCCAGCCAATCATAATTAAGGCACATGTTTATCGTTTATGTTAAGTTTAGGCTTTAGGTTTATGTAGTTCTACATGATTGTTATCTAACTATTATTCCCCTCTGATTTTGGGAATAATTTACAGTTATGGTTGGGTTTGGGAGTAGGGAAAAGGTATGGATTACATTTTCGAACAAAAATGATGTTTCAAGATCACAATAGTTGTTAATCCAGGATCGGATCGTACTTGGCAAATTTATGAACAAACACTTATAGAAGTCAGTGGTTGTCCAACCTTCTGCAAAATAATCTTTGTGTTCAACAGAAGAAAGTCAAACTGGTTTGCAATAAGCGAAGGGTGACATAATTTTCTATTTTATTGAGCTATCCCTTAATTGTCAAGAGAATATTATATTTTACCAATCAAATTAGAATAAGGGCAGCACGGTGGCGCAGTGTGTAGCACTCTTGCCTGACAGCAAAAAGGTCACTGGTTCGAGCCTCGGCTGGGAAAGTTGACATTTCTGTGTGGAGTTTGCATGTTCTCCCCAAGTGTGCTTGGGTTTCCTTTAGGTGCTCCAGTTTCCCCCACAAGTCCAAAGACCTGCGGCATAAGTGAACTGAGTAAGCTAAAATGGTCTGTAGTGTATGTGTGTGAATGGAAGTGTATGGGTGTTTCCCAGTGATGGGTTGCAGCTGGAAGGGTATCCATGCGTAAAACATTTGCTGGATAAGTTGGCAGTTCATTCCACTGTGGCGACTCCGATTTATGAAGGGACTAAGCCGAAAAGAAAATGAATGAATGACATAGAATAAATGACCTTTTGAAAGTGAATTGATGCTCAAAGATTGTTCCCATTATGTTACACCATGTATACAAGTGGCATTTTAACACCAAGATTTGTTCGAGAGAGAACAAAAACAGAAGGAACAAAACAAGTGAATTTTTTATAGAGTCATATAACATTGAAGTGCAGTGGGGCTTGGAGGGCTGAATCTGTTCTCACACTATCAAAACCGTTGCTTGGTGAGTATTCTGAAAACTGTTTAGCTACACCAACTTTCTGCTGTTCCAGTTTTAGTCATTTAAGCCAATAATGCAACCTTCTTCATTGGTGACCGTAGGACTATCAATTATTTGAGTATACCACACAGCTAAATGGGACACTATCTATCAGAAATAAATGTGCAATCGGCTTGCCATAGAAACCTGTGGTTCGCCTGTTGTGCGCTTGAGATGAGAGAGGGTTTGAAATTTGGTTAGTGGTTCGTTATGCGGAGATTCCATGAGAACTCAGATGTTTTTATGCCAAATTGTTCGTTTGTTCATCAACAGCGTGTAATCAGCGTGGATTGCAGCACGCTATCTTTTCCAATGTTTATGCGTTTGTCTATTTCTTTTGCAAGCCGCTACAATTTCAAGCCGCGAGCATTCTGACTCACCGATTAAATACTGTGCTCTGAACGTGAGAGGAATCGCAAGTGTCGAACAGTCACCATAGCGCATCATGAGCGCGTCCAGCTGCCAATTTGCCCTCGAACCGGGGCCACCTATCCGAAAGCTTGAGAAAGAACAGCTAGTGGACGCAGATGAGTGCAAGGTGTACTGCTGCACCCGCGACCCCGACGAGGCGCGTACATTTCCATTCTGAAGGACAAATAGAGGACAGATTGCTTGTTAACCCAGATTCCGTTGTGCTTGTTGAAGCTTTCTTAATACGAACTCATTAGATTCAGAGTCTGATTATAAACATTCAAAGAGATTAAAAATCATTTGGTATGAAACAAATCTAGAGGCGTGATTTTTTATTTTATTTATTTATTTTTTTTTTTACAAGAGAGACAGTGACATGGATAAGAAGTCTTGAGATAAGCTCATAAGCTAGGCCTACATTTATTATCAACACACTTTTTTTCTGTTTACTTCTTTGACAATCTCCATTTGTATCTTTGAAGCTTTGACAGAAATTATGCTGTAAAGTTTTGCATGTTTAATTACTGTATTTTAGCATCATGCACTTTTTCTGAACACTTGTTTTGCAGATTTTGTATAACTTCAATATAACACCATATTGAAGTTTTGATAAAAAAAAGCCACAAATTAAAAATTATTTAGATCTATCAACTTTTTCAGAACCATTATTCATTGTAAAAGATGTTAAGAAAACTATTTAAATTAATCAGATTTTTTCGCTTGATTGATGTGCCACATTTGGCATGTGGGAAAATATAATTAAATGGGTTAAACAGATTTTCTGTTAATGTAGTCATGATTTTCTCACTATGTTGTTCAAAACCTATAACTTTAAGACTTTGGCTTTACTAACAGTTGAAGTCAGAATTATTAAACCCCCTGAATTAATATCCCCCTCCCCACCCCGTTTATCCCCCCCCCCCAATTTCTGTCTAACAAAACACTTCTATACAGCTTAAAGTGAAATGTAAAGGCTTAACTGGGTTAACTAGGCAGGTTAGGGTAATTAGGCAAGTTATTGTATAATGATGGTTTGTCCTGTAGATTATCTAAAAATATATATCTTAAAGGGGCTAAAAATTTTGACCTTAAAAAGTTTTTTTTTTTTTTTTTAACTGCTGTTATTCTAGCCGAAATAAAACAAATAAGACTTTCTCCAGAAGAAAAATTATTATCAGACATACCGTGAAAATTTCCTTGCACTGTCAAAGATACTTTGGGAAATATTTAAAAAAGAAAAAAATCTAAAGGGGGCTAATAATTTTGACTTCAACTGTAGATATTTAAGTGAAATCTGTGTTTTTGTTCTTCCTTTAAATGTACATTTTAAGGCGATAAAGCTATCATTAAATAATCCATGTGGTCAAACACATTTATTTAGAGTTTATGCTAATATAGATGCACATTTAATAGTGCATCGCATAAAGAATTAAGCTCAGGCAAATTACATATGCTTCTATAAGTAATAAAACGTTCAATAAAATCTCTAAATAAATATTTAAATCTTTTCGCTATATTTTAAGTTTTGTTTACCAAATTCTCACCAGCTTTAATACATGTTTCTGGTGTATTTCTGTTGATTTTTACAGAAACAAAAAAAAATTTTTTTTTTTTTTTTAGTCTTCATGTAGCATTTACATTTTCAATTTTAAGACTAAACCTAAATATAAAATAACTAAATAGGTACAAGCATTAGTTAATAAAAAAGATGTGTATTGTGTGACAGAAGTTACTGAACATGTAAAACAATGCTGCATGCTGCCCTAAACACCTGTTAATATGTGATGGTGTTTTGAGTCACTCTTCACAAATGCTTATTAAATGTGAAAAGAAGTCAAAGCAGCACTAGGATTTCCTGCATAACATACTGTAAAAATAGCTGTTAATTAAAAGTTTCTGTGTTTTGGGATTC